TAAAACATCTTCCCATTCGGCTAAACTTATTGTATGTCCAATGTCTCTGGTATGGACGAGATGTATGGTCAATAAAACTAAAATTCACTTATTCAACCGATTACAAAGAAAATTGGAATAAATTATTTTACTGATGGTATCTAACACCCGACATACTATCGAAGATTAACAAAAGGAAAAATAATGGCAAGTGCTGGAAGTGTAGGCAAGATAAGGGAGACTTCATCCATATGTGGTGGAGATATAAAAAGGTCAAATCCTTTTTGAAGACAAATTCATAAAAAAATAGAAGCAATCTTAAAAATCAAATTTGAACTAAAACCGGAATATCTACTACTAGGCATCACTGACTTTGATATGGACACTAACACAAACAAGATTTTCTTCTACCTAACAACGGCAGCACGAATTAAATTAGCCCAGAAGTGGAAATCTCAGGATATCCCATCTATAGAGCAATGGACATCGAAAGTCGTAGACATGATGAATATGGACCTTCTTACACAAAGGATATCTAATAGTAACAATAAGACAAAAACAACAAATTGGACTAATTTTCTCCTATTTTTAGATGAGGAGAGAAGGGCATAATCAACAGGAACATCAATTAAAAAATAATCATAGAATCATAGAATCAATAGAATCAAAGAGTTGGAAGAGACCTCATGGGCCATCCAGTCCAACCCCCTGCCAAGAAGCAGCAATATTGCATTCAAATCACCCCTGACAGATGGCCATCCAGCCTCTGTTTAAAAGCTTCCAAAGAAGGAGCCTCCACCACACTCCGGGGCAGAGAGTTCCACTGCTGAACGGCTCTCACAGTCAGGAAGTTCTTCCTAATGTTCAGATGGAATCTCCTTTCTTGTAGTTTGAAGCCATTGTTCCGCGTCCTAGTCTCCAGGGAAGCAGAAAACAAGCTTACTCCCTCCTCTCTGTGGCTTCCTCTCACATATTTATACATGGCTATCATATCCCCTCTCAGCCTTCTCTTCTTCAGGCTAAACATGCCCAGCTCCTTAAGCCGCTCCTCATAGGGCTTGTTCTCCAGACCCTTTTATCATTTTAGTCGCTCTCCTCTGGACACATTCCACCTTGTCAATATCTCTCTTGAATTGTGGTGCCCAGAATTGGACACAATATTCCAGGTGTGGTCTAACCAAAGCAGAATAGAGGTGTAGCATTACTTCCCTGGAACTAGACACTATGCTCCTATTGATGCAGGCCAAAATCCCATTGGCTTTTTTTGCCGCTACCTGACATTGTTGGCTCATGTTTAACTTGTTGTCCACGAGGACTCCAAGATCTTTTTCACACATACTGCTCTCGAGCCAGGCGTCACCCATTCTGTATCTTTGCATTTCATTTTTCTGCCAAAGTGGAGTATCTTGCATTTGTCACTGTTGAACTTCATTTTGTTAGTTTTGGCCCATCTCTCTAATCTGTCAAGATCGTTTTGAATCCTGCTCCTGTCCTCTGGAGTATTGGCTATCCCTCCCAATTTGGTGTCGTCTGCAAACTTGATGATCATGCCTTCTAGCTCTTCATGTTTAAATATCCGAAAGGACATCACATTGATTGCTCTAAAGACTAGGATACAGAGCAATGGAGTCAAATTTCAGGAAAAAAATATTCCACCTAAACATTAGAAAGAACTTCCTGATGGTAAGAGCTGTTCAGAAGTGTAATATGCTGCTTTGCAGCATTGCAGAATCTCCTTCTCTGGATGTTTTAAGCAGAGGCTGGATGGCCACTTGTTGAGAATGCTTTGATGGTGTGTTTCTGCATGGCAGAAAGTTGGACTCGTTGGCCTTGTAGCCAATTCTCATAATATCACCAGATGCCTGGATCCCTAGAACTTAGGATTTTGACCTGGAAACTTCAGCATCTGGCATGATCCTGTACTGACAACCATAGCTTTATGGTTCACTAATTTTCTAAATGAATAATAAAAAGTTATTCAAAGTCAATCATCGCCGGGGTGGTCTGCAGAAAATGTATTATGCAGAGCCCTTGAGGAGCAATGTTAATTGTATTCCATTTCAAGACGGCAACTTCAAAAGTGTTTTATCTATTCCTGCTGTCTAATCTCTCCAGTGAAAGGTCATGCTCTGTATGCCAGCCTTAAGCCTCCAATGGGAGCATTTAACTTTTTCTACCAATGTCTCAAATTGGTGGACACTGTTTTGGTATTTTCCAATATAAGGATGAAAGCCTAGTGTAGCATAAAAAATTAAACAAAGATTAAATTTTACTACAGGAAAAGAAATTCCACCTAAATACTAGGGAACATTTCCTAATGGTATGAACTCCCACCAGTGGGATATGCTGTCTCCGTTTGGTAGAGTCTCAATTTCTGGAAATGTTTAAAAGGCTGGATGGGCATCTGTCAAGAGTGTTTTGACTGTGTTTTACTACCTGACAGAGTGGGGAGTGGATGGCCCCCAGGGTGTCTTCCAAGAAGAGAACAAAGCCCTATGAGGAGCGGCTTAAGGAGCTGGGCATGTTTAGCCTGAAGAAGAGAAGGCTGAGAGGAGATATGATAGCCATGTATAAATATGTGAGAGGAAGCACAGGGAGGAGGGAGCAAGCTTGTTTTCTGCTTCCTTGGAGACTAGGACACGGAACAATGGCTTCAAACTACAAGAAAGGAGATTCCATCTGAACATGAGGAAGAACTTCCTGACTGTGAGAGCCGTTCAGCAGTGGAACTCTCTGCCCCGGAGTGTGGTGGAGGCTCCTTCTTTGGAAGCTTTTAAACAGAGGCTGGATGGCCATCTGTCAGGGGGTGATTTGAATGCAATATTCCTGCTTCTTGGCAGGGGTTGGACTGGATGGCCCATGAGGTCTCTTCCAACTCTTTGATTCTATGATTCTATGATTCTAAGAGACCTCATGGGACATCCAGTCCAACTGATGGGGAGATATTGGAAAAATAGATATTTATTTATGCATATATTATATGAACTTTACAAGGACTGAAATGTATAGAAAAATCAGGTTCTCTCTGTATTAGAAAGAATGCTGAAGGAGATCTGTGTCCAAGGCACGGGCAGGAGGGGGATGAACATTCCAGGAAGGGGGGAGATAAGCCCATCCTAGTAGCAACAGAGATAAGTAAAAAGTAAGGAGCCAATCCCCCTCCCTCATGACAGGTCAAAGTAGGCCCCTTGATTGATGAATAATATAATAATAATAATAATAATAATAATAATAATAATCCTTTATTTATACCCCGCTAACATCTCCCGAAGGACTCGGTGCGGCTTACAAGAGGCCAAGGCCCAACACATCAATAAAACAACAGCATAACAAATACAACAATAAATAAACTCATAAAACAAGCAATAAACATTAACACTATAGCAATAAACATTAGACAATATGACACATTTAAAACTCAGGCCGGGCCAAATGTAATGATTAAAATTTTTTAAATGCTGGGCATGACAGGTGAAATGGATAGGTTTTTGGAGATAAGTGCGGTGTGCAGACAATCTTAAATCTCAACATTTGGGACATGATGCTTGGAGTTTCCTATTCTGGGAAGGCACACTGGAACAACCACGTCTTCAAGCTCTTCCTAAAGACTGCCAATGTTGGGGCTTGTCTGATGTCCTTGGGGAGAGAATTCCAGAGTCGGGGGCCACCACGGAGAAGGCCCTGTCCCTCGTCCCCACCAATTGCGCTTGCGACGCAGGTGGGATCGTGAGCAAGGCCTCTCCAGATGATCGGAGAGATCGTGTGGGTTCATATACGGAGATGCGGTCATGCAGGTAGGCGGGTCCCAAACCGTTTAGGGCTTTGTAGGTAAGCACCTGCACCTTGAATGGGACCGGAAAATGAACGGCAGCCAATGGAGCTCCTTAAACAGGAGGGTTGACCTCTCTCTGTAAGGAGCACCAGTTAACAACCTGGCCGCCCCCCGTTGGACCAATTGAAATTTCCGGGCCATTTTCAAGGGTAGCCCCACGTAGAGTGCATTACAGTAGTCCAATCTGGAGGTGACTAAGGCATGGACCACCCTGGTCCATGCCTTAGTCACCTAAACATTAGTCACTTTACAAGCATTGAAATGTATAGAAAAATCAGGTTCTCTCTCTGTATTAGAAAGAATGCTGAAGGAGATCTGTGTCCAAGGCACGGGCAGGAGGGGGATGAACATTCCAGGAAGGGGGGAGATAAGCCCATCCTAGTAGCAACAGAGATAAGTAAAAAGTAAGGAGCCAATCCCCCTCCCTCATGACAGGTCAAAGTAGGCCCCTTGATTGATGAATGTAAGCTGTAAGCTGCTCTTTACAAAGAATCACAGAGACATACCTTTTGTATGTTGGAAGATATTTCTATGATGCTAAAGTGACGCAGAGAATGATGTCAATGTATGTAGAAGCATGTTTCTTTGTTTGCCTGCATTTGAAGTGTATAAAAGGCAGTCAACGCCTTTATCGGGCACTCTGGTTGCTTTTGGACACAGCTCCACTCCAGGGTCCCAGCTGGAAATAAATGTACTTTTCTTTCTCCAGAAGGGATCTCTCTTGACATTATCTCTCCTATCACTGCTGCAAGACAACCCCCTGCTAAGAAGCAGGAAAATTGCATTCAAAGCACCCCCGACAGATGGCCACCCAGCCTCTATTGGATTCTATGAACGACTGTACTTTTCCCATTTCAAATGTAATGAAAATATTGAGGCAAATCTGCTCAGAATTTCAAAATTAATTGGGACCCGCTATAGGTTAATGGTAATGCTGGCCTTCCTCTAGGTGGGCTATTAGTTAAAGCAAGTTGACTATGCTGGAAATACAGGGAGCTCTCTCAGTGTCAACAGAAAGCAAGTGCAAACTATTTGTGAACACATTTGACCAAGGAGACACCAAAACAAGTTATCCTTAGGATGAGCATAATTCAGAAACTTGAAGGCCCGCAACAGCAGCAACATTTGGAAGAGATTTGCAACCTATTTTTTAATTATTCATCATATGAAATGTCTTTCTGTTTTGCAGTATATGTCAGGATTTGGTAATGAGCATAGCTCTGAAGACCCCCGCTGTCCTGGAGCCTTGCCAGAAGGACAGGTATTTGTGCCATTTTGGAATATGAGGAAGGGTGGCTCGCTTTCATTCAACCTATCCCAAACTGCCCAGGGGAAAAGAGGTTTATTCAGGAAAAGCAAATTTGAATTGAAATGTTCAGTGTTTGCTAATTTTTGGAAAGGCAAATGTGAGGGTAGTAACCAATTGTTTACATAGATACGGGAAATAACCCCATCTGTATACATGTGTTTAAGAAATAACACGACAAAATAAAATACAATTTTATAAAATACAATAGTGATTTTGATTGTTTATTGTTATTGTTTTTATACTGTTTATACTATATGTAATTGTTTTTGATGGTATTTTATCTTGTGGGGCAATGGTTGCCAAATTTAAATTGCCTTGAGTCGCCTCCGGCCTGAGAGGGGCAGTATACAAGTATAGTAAATAAATAAATCTATATAAATAAAAATGTAATGTTTGTTTGTGGGATTAACAGAACTCAAAAACCACTGGACGAATTGACACCAAATTTGGACACAACACATTGGGACCTGCTATAGGTTAATGGTAATGCCAACGAGTCCAACGAGTGTCCATCACCCATAAACACACACACACACAACACCCCAGCGGAACAGACATAAAAACCCCAAAAATACACCATATATACATACACACATACACTCATATACATATGCACATGCACACATTCATACACACACATATATATGCACAAACACACACAAATGCACATACATATATACATATACACATGCACACACATATGCACAATATGCATGTACACATATAAACACACAAATACACAAATATATACGTACACATATATATACACACACATATATATACGCAAACACACATATATACACAAATATACACACACATGCACATATATATATAAGCGAACACACATATATACACAAATATATACACACATATACACAATATGCATGTACACATATAAACACACAAATACACAAATATATCCACACACACATATATATGCAAAGACACATATATGCACAAATATATGCGCACACACACATATAAGCAAACACACACATATATATAAGCAAACACACATATATAAACACAAAGATATCCACACATATACACAATATGCATGTACACATATAAACACACAAATACACAAATATATCCACACACATATATATATATATACGCAAACACAGATATATACACAAATACACACACACATATATATAAAAGCAAACATACATATATACACAAATATATACACACATATACACAATATGCATGTAGACATATAAACACACAAATACACAAAAATATACACACATATATACACCCATATATATATATGCAAACACACATATACACTGATATATACACACAAAACACATATACACAGACTGGGCCACAGCAATGCGTGGCAGGGGACAGCTAGTAATAAATAAATTCTTATAGTTTGTGTTCTGTTTCTGTTTAGAATAACCCTCAGGTATGTCCTTATGGGCTGTATGCTGAACAGATTTCGGGCTCAGCATTCACTTGCCCACGATCTACCAACAGAAGAAGGTATGCCGACATGGAGAAGGGGATATTAGATGTAGACCTGGAGAGGGGCATGGGGGGTGGGGGGGTGGATTTGGGAATGGTGCAGAGGGAAAACAGCAGCTGGGTTGTTGTAGGTTTTTTCGGGCTATATGGCCATAGTCTAGAGGCATTCTCTCCTGACGTTTCGCCTGCATCTATGGCAAGCTGTAAGTCGCTCGGAGCTCCTTGGTGGAGAGCGACTAATTAAGAAATAAAGTGAAGTGAATTGAAGTCAAGCATCCTGAGAGCTAGTGAGGTCTGTTGGAACTAGGAAAATTTGTTTATATATCTGTGGAATGACCAGGGTGGGACAAAGGACTCTTGTCTGCTAGAGCTAGGTGTGAATGTTTCAACTGACCACCTTGATTAGCTCATTCCTCTCAACAAAAGTTTGCTCCAGGCACTGTCAAGCCATTATATGCTAATCAAGGTGTTCAGTTGAAACATTCGCACCTAGCTCCAGCAGACAAGAGTCCTTTGTCCCACCCTGGATATTCCACAGATATATAAACCCCTTTTTCCTAGTTCCAACAAACCTCACTACCTCTGAGGATGCTTGTCATAGATGCAGGCGAAATGTCTGGAGAGAATGCCTCTAGACCATGGCCATATAGCCTGAAAAAACTACAACAACCCAGTGATTCCGGCCATGAAAGCCTTTGACAATACATTAAAACAGCAGCTGTCTCATGGTTCTTATTAGGTCTTCATCCTACAAGCTGAGGGATCCGTCTTACCCTGTTCCCTTCTATATTTCCCCCTCTTCCGGGATGGCAAGCCATCTCATGCCCTTTCTGTGTCTATGTCTGTCTTTCTCCTGCTTTTCTCCATTTGGAGTGGGTAACACCTGACTCCTGAAGACAGATTTAGGGCTCCCTTCCACGAGCTGCAAAAACAGAGTCCCACAGAGTCCCATCACATCATGTGATGACCTCCATGGGACTCTAGTGGGACTCCATTTCTGAAAATGCATGGAAACAGAACCCTAAACCTGTGGGATGAAGTCCTTCGCCCTTTATAAAACCCACCAGTATACCACCTGTGGAACATTTTAATCCAATTTTCCTTCAAATCCATTGCATAGGTATACTTTAATCTCTTGTTCCACATTTGTTCCCACTCTCTAAATTGAACTGGCCTTCTTAAGTTCTCTGCCCACTTAATCCTATATGGCTCCGGCCCAGCGTACCTGTCCAAACGCATCTCCTTCTACGTCCCGCCTCGGAGTTTAAGATCGTCTGGGGAGGCCCTGCTCTTGGCCCCACCTCTATCACAAGTGAGGTTGGTGGGTACGAGGAGCAGGGCCTTCTCGGTGGTGGCCCCTCATCTGTGGAATTCGTTTCCTGGGGAAATTAGGTCATTGACATCCCTTCTCTCTTTTAGAAGGAAACTAAAAACATGGATATGGGTCCAGGCCTTTGGGTAATCTGGCAGATAGACAAAGGACAGTGACGACTAGAATTGGATAGGATTTGACAATGTGGAATGAACTACGGATTCTGAGCTTGGCGAACGTTGAACATTAGATTGGTTTTTTTTATTAATTGTGATGTATAACTGGATTGTTTAATTGTTTTATAATTGCTGTTGATACATGTTTTATCTTATTATCTGTTTTGTTGGCATCAAATTGTGCCTTTTGTAAGCCTCCCTGAGTCCCCCCTCGGGGGTTGAGAAGGGCGGGGTAGAAATACGCGAAATAAATAAAATAAATCATACAGGATTTTGACCTGTTCCTTTTCAGTTAACCATACCAATAGTTTATTATAAATCGTTGTTACTGTTTTCTTTTTCATCTTCAATATTTTGTCCCATATTGTTTACCAGGACATTTCTTTATGTGAAGACATGATAGAAAAGGCTGAGAAGCCAGTATATGATATAGGACTATTTGATTAGTAAAATGCTTGCCTCACTTCTTCATTCGTTTTCTCTCAGCTGGATGTACAGAATTCTGCCATCTGTTTGCCATAAGCCTTTTCAACCTATGGATCAAGGTCATCTGACACATAACTGGGATGAAGGAGAACCTGAGCCTAATCAGGTAGTTATATGTGATGCTAAAGTACAAGAATGAATATTAAGATTGAAAATAAACTCTTTGATGGTGTTAACATGCCAGCCTGGGTGTAGTGAAATTGCTACTCTATGTTAACGTTTTGATGTATAGCTCTATGTTTACATATGGCAGATAGGGAAGAATAGGCACAGACAGGGTAGCAACAGCAGAGATAGGATTCATTTGCATATGTGAAGCCGATTGGTCATATGCAGATTAGTGTAGGCCCAGGATTTGAAAAGGCTGCTAGGCCAAAATGACAGTTGGGGAGAGCAGAGCTGAACATTCCAAAGGGGCAGAGCCAAGGTTCTGAAAGAGGCAGTTAGAGTGAGGGAGTTTGAAAATGACAGTTACGAATCTGTGTGTGAAGAGGAGAGTTGGTTTTTGAGTGCCTGATAGAAATAAGCAGTTATGAAGATGTGTTAAAGACTTCTGATATAGAGAAGCAGTTAGTTAAATAGAGCTCGAGTTTTAAGGAACATAAAGAAGGCTAGTGTTGCCTTAATTCAGAATATAATTCAGCCAAGAGTGTGTAAAGCAAGTAACATGTTTGTGAATGTGAAACATTGATAGTTTATTCAGAAAAGTTAACCAAGTAAATGAAACTGACTGTAAGCCTTAAGATTGCAACAAAACACAAATGTAACCACAAGCGTTGGAGCCAGAAATTATAAACAAACTGTGTTACTTGGTTATACACAAGAGTGTTTCATTGCCTGTGATATAAATTACAAAGGTTTAACAGCACACAGAAAGACCCTAGTGGGAGAAGCAAGACTGGATGTATTTGCTCCATTATTATAGTCGTCGCACAATATATTTAAAAACGTGTTTCTGTTTTGTTCCAGCTGAGGTGGAAACCTTTTGAGATCCCAGTAACAACCCAGAGAAAAGTGGACTTTGTAACTGTAAGTAAAGAAACAGAAGCCTTTTAAGAGTTTCTCCCTAGGAGAGATAATAGTACTCTACAGCATGAAAGATTATTTTTCCCATGTAATGCTTAATTTCTGTATGTACACAAATGATTTTGAATGGTACAGAATCACTACATACACATTAAAGAACTGTGGAGGCAGAAATGAAGTGAAAAATTGCACCGGGATTGTGGCGCAGCTGGCTGAGTGTCAGCTGCATAAAGATCACTCTGACCAAAAGGTCATGAGTTCGAAGCCAGCCCGGGTTGGAGTGGGTTTCCAACCAATTGTGTAGCCTGTTGTCGACCTTTGCAACCCGAAAGACAGTTGCATCTGTCAAGTAGGAAAATAAGGTACCATCTTAAAGTGTGGGGAGGCTAAATTAACTAATTTATGAGGCCATAAAAAAGACTCCAGCAAAGCACTCCAGCAAAAAAGCATGCGGGGAATGCGGAAGTACTTCATCAGTGTCGCAAATGGACGATGAAAGTGACAGCCCCCCTGGCAGCCAGAAAAAGTTAAATAGCCTCTGTATATGTCTGTATATGTTGTATGTTAAAATTGCCATTGAATGTTTGCCATATACATTCAATGTATATGGCATTGAATGTTTGCCATATACATTCAATGTTTTCTCACCTGCGGTGTGAGAAGGGCGGAATATAAAAGCTGCAAATAAATAAATAAAAATAACTTCTCAACTGGCTTGTGAAAAATAAGCCCCAGAAGGGCTTATGCAAAAGATCTTGGGGTGGACAACAAGTTAAACATGAGCCAACAAGTTAAACATGAGCCAACAAAACCCAAAAAAAGCCAGTGGGTTTTGGCCTGCATCAATAAGAGTCGTGTCTAGATCTAAGGAAGTCATGCTACCCCTCTATTCTGCCTTGGTTAGACCACACCTGGAATATTGTGCCCAAATCTGGGCACCACAATTGAAGATAGATGTTGATAAGTTGGAATGTGTCCAGAGGAGGGCGACTAAAATGATCAAGGGTCTGGAGAACAAACCCTATGAGGAGCAGCTTAAAGAGCTGGGCATATTTAGCCTGAAGAAGGGAAGGCTGAGATGAGACATGATAGTCATGTATAAATATGTGAGAGGAAGTCATAGGGAGGAGGGAGCAAGCTTGTTTACTGCTTCCCTGGAGACTAGGACGCGGAACAATGGCTTCAAACTACAAGAAAGAAGATTCCATCTGAACATGAGGAAGAACTTCCTGACTGTGAGAGCCGTTCAGCAGTGGAACTCTCTGCCCCGAAGTGTGGTGGAGGCTCCTTCTTTGGAAGCTTTTAAGCAGAGGCTGGATGGCCATCTGTCAGGAGTGCTTTGAATGTAATATTCCTGCTTCTTGGCAGAATGGGGTTGGACTGGATGTCCCATGAGGTCTCTTCCAACTCTGTGATTCTATGGTTCTATTAACAAAGTGTTTCTCTAAGGGTGAGTGTATTTTGTTGATGGGATGCAACCAATCAAAGTTTATCCTATTTATCCTGAACGTGTGTTTGTTTCCATAGGGATTGCACACTTTGTGTGGTGCCGGTGAGCCCAGGTCTCGGAATGGACTTGCAATCCATGTCTTTACCTGTAATACCTCCATGTCGAACAGGTTCGTGAGCCATGTGTTACTCAAGGGTTCTGCACAAATCTTTGAATACAATCAGAAATAGTTTAGTGGCAATTCATTCTGTGAATTCTGGAAGAGAAGAGATGCATCAGGCCAACCTTCCTTCAGTTCCCAAATCTTCATCTCCCTCCATTTTGTATATGATTATAATTATCTTTTAATGTCATTTAAGTGCAATGAGACGTGCACATAGTTTAGCAAAAGTTGGGAGTGATCCCCAAATTATCTAATTCAATTCACTAACAGCACTAAAATAACATGCCAGGTGCCCATTTGATTTCTTTTTTAAAACCACCTCTGAGAGCATCCATTTAACATTTATTTATTTATTCATTTATTTCCTATATTTATACCCCGCCCTTCTCCCATCCGAAAGGGGACTCGGGGCAGCCTAACGAAAGCATCATATGATGCTAGTGTCATAAAAACAACCACAGTACAATCAAAATATTAAAAATTAAAACAACAATTAAAACTGGGTTGTTGTAGGTTTTTCCGGGCTATATGGCCATGTTCTAGAGGCATTTTCTCCTGACGTTTCGCCTGTGTCTATGGCAAGCATCCTCAGAGGTAGTGAGGTCTGTTGGAAATAGGAAGATGGGTTTATATATCTGTGGAATGACCAGGGTGAGACAAAGGGCTTTTGTCTGCTGGAGCTGGGTGTGAATGTTTCAACTGACCATCTTGATTAGCATTGAATGGCTTGGAAGTGCCTGGGGGGAATCTTTTGTTGAGAGTGATTAGATGTGCCTGATTGTTTACTCTCTGTTGTTTTGCTGTTGTAATTTTTGAGTTTTTAATACCATGAAAATGAACAAAATCCGGCTACCAGTATTAAAAAAAATTAAAATTGCAACAGCACAACAACAGAGAGGAAGCAGGCAGGGACATCTAATTACCTCTTAATAAAAGTTTGCTCCAGGCACAGTCAGCCCATTGTATGCTAAGGTGGTCAGTTGAAACATTCACACCTAGCTCCAACAGACAAGAGTTCTTTGCCCCACCCAGGTCATTCCACAGATATATAAACCCTTTTTCCTAGTTCCCTCACTACCTCTGAGGCTGCTTGCCATAGATGCAGGTGAAATTTCAGGAGATAATGCTAGACCAGTGTTTCTCAACCTGGGGGTCGGGACCCCTGGGGGGGTCACGAGGGGGTGTCAGAGGGGTCGCCAAAGACCATCCGAAAACATAGTATTTTCTGTTGGTCATAGGGGTTCGTGTGGGAAATTTGGCCCAATTCTATCATTGGTGGGGATCAGAATGATCTTTTATTGTAGGAGAACTATAAATCCCAGCAACTACAACTCCCAAATGCCAAGGTCTATTTTCCCCAAACTCCACCAGTGTTCATTCACATTACTCATGTTGAGTATTCATGGAAAGTTTGGTCCAGATCCATCATTGTGTGAGTCCATAGTACTCTCTGGATGTAGGTGAACTACAACTCCATACCTCAAGGTCAATGCCCACCAAACCCTTCCAGTATTTTCTGTTAGTCAAGAGTGTTCTGTTTGGCAAGATTGGTTCAGTTCCATTGTTGGAATTCACAATACTCTTTGATTGTAGGTAAACTATAAATCCCAGCAACTACAACTCCCGAATGACAAAATCAATACCCCCTCCCCAACCCCACCAGTATTCAAATTGGGACATATCACATATTTGTGCCAGATTTGGTCCAGTGAATGAAAATACATCCTGCATATCAGATATTTATATTACGATACATAACAGTAGCAAAATTGTAATTGTGAAGTAGCAACAAAAATAATTTTATGGTTAGGGGTCACCATAACATGAGGAACTGTATTAAGGGGTTGTGGCATTAGAAAGGTTGAGAACCACTGCTCTAGACCATGGCCATACAGCCCGAAAAAACCTACAACAACCCAGTGATTCCGGCCATGAAAAGCCTTCAACAATATTATTATTATTATTATTATTATTATTATTATTATTATTATTATTATTATTATTGCAAGTGGGTGTCCTATCTGAGAGATTGTGGATATCAATTGTCCAGCAAGCACATAAATAGCCTTCTCACTCATTTTGATTTGATGCGTGGAGAACTATTCAACTATTTTATACTGGGTGAGACCCAGGCCTTGGAACTCAAGTTGTTCAGTGGGCACAAACAAACAAGTGTATGTTTGCATCATGTTAAATGAGTATAGGACATGGTGAAGGTGGATCTGGCCAGGGTGGTCCATGCCTTGGTCACCTCCAGATTGGACTACTGTAATGCACTCTACATGGGGCTGCCCTTGAAAACGGCCCGGAAATTCCAACTGGTCCAACGGGCGGTGGCCAGGTTGTTAACTGGTGCTCCTTACAGGGAGAGGTCAACCCTCCTGTTTAAGGAGCTCCATTGGCTGCCATTCATTTTCCGGTCCCAATTCAAGGTGCAGGTGCTTACCTACAAAGCCCTAAACGGTTTGGGACCCGCCTACCTGTGTGACCGCATCTCCGTATATGAACCCACACAATCTCTCCGATCATCTGGAGAGGCCCTACTCACAATCCCACCTGCGTCGCAAGCGCGATTGGTGGGGACAAGGGACAGGGCCTTCTCCGTGGTGGCCCCCCGACTCTGGAACTCTCTCCCCAAGGACATCAGACAAGCCCCAACATTGGCAGTCTTTAGGAAGAGCTTGAAGACGTGGTTGTTCCAGTGTGCCTTCCCAGAATAGGAAACTCCAAGCATCATGTCCCAAATGCACTTTACTAGAGATTTAAGATTGTCTGCACACCGCACCTATCTCCAAAAACCTATCCATTTCACCTGTCATGTCCAGCATTTTTAAAATTTTAATCATTACATTTGGCCCGGCCTTAGTTTTAAATGCGTCGTGGTGTTATTGTCTAATGTTTATTGCTATTGTTTTAATGTTTATTGCTTGTTTTATGAGTTTTATTTATTGTTGTATTTGTTATGCTGTTGTTTTATTGATGTGTTGGGCCTCGGCCTCTTGTAAGCCGCACCGAGTCCTTCGGGAGATGTTAGTGGGGTATAAATAAAGGATTATTATTATTATTATTATTATTATTATTATTATTATTATCTTGGTCTACATCTACAGAAGGGAACGTGTGACTAGCACTGAAATTAATATTTCCTTTTGGGTGGAAGATACCAAAACAGTAAGCCAAATAATACGAATACACTAGACTGATTTAAAGGTGCAAGAGTAAGAAACCCCTTTTCTCAAGCTGTCTGCGGTGGGGAGAAGCACAATAGAAAAATGGACTCTTGGTATATATTGGTTTTTTTTCCGTGTCAGAAGTGACATGAGAAACTGCAATTTGCTTCTGGTGTGAGAGAATTGGCCGTCCGCAGGGATGTTGCCCAGAGGACACCCAGATATTTTGCCATACTGTGTGAGGCTTCTCTCATGTCCCTGTGTGGGAAGCTGGGGCTGACAGACAGGAGTTCATCCCATCTCACAGATTAGCCGGCACAAGGGTTTAACCCATTGCACCACCGCGGCTCCTGCATATCAAATGTTATTAAAGAATGGAGTGTAGGTGGAGAATAAGATTAAATTGACAAGATTTTACAAATGTGGCCAGTGTCAAACATTTTTAAAAATGACTTCTTGGAAGAACAACAGAAACATAAAAGGGTTAGGAAAACAGTGGGCTCTGAGATTATAATTAAGCTCTTATTCTTGATTCCCAGCATTTTGTAAATGGAGGCATCCTTTGTTTCTTCTTCCTCTACAGCTGTTTTTACAATTCTGATGGAGACTTTTTGATTGGTGAGTTATCATTTCATTCTTACCACTCTGATCTTTTCTGGTCAGTTATGTTTGCTGTGGGTGCTAGAAACAATATCATACGAAAGCTGACTGGCACAACCTGGGGATCACAACCAGATACAGTAAAGACATCTGCCCTTGCGCTATGCTACTCTGCTGCTGAGTATGCATGCCCAGTGTGGAACACATCTCACCATGCTAAAACAGTGGATGTGGCTCTTAATGAGACATGCTGCATTATCACAGGGTGTCTGCGCCCTACACCACTGGAGAAATTACACTGCTTAGCCGGTATTGCACCACCTGACATTTGCCGGGAAGTTGCAGCCAATAGTGAAAGGACCAAGGCAAAGACAGCTCCAGCTCATCCCCTGTTTGGGTATCAGCCAGCACGTCAATGACTTAAATCTAGAAATAGTTTCCTAAGATCTACAGAGACAGTCGCTGGAACACCCCAGCAAGCGAGAGACCAAAAGTGGCAGGCTCAAACCCAGAACCTCAATCCGTGGCTGATACCAAATGAGAGACTCCCCCCTGGGCACACAGAAGACTGGGCGACTTGGAAGGCGCTGAACAGACTGCGCTCTGGCACCACGAGATGCAGAGCCAATCTTAAGAAATGGGGCTACAAAGTGGAATCCACGACATGCGAGTGTGGAGAAGAGCAAACCACAGACCACCTGCTGCAATGCAACCTGAGCCCTGACACATGCACGATGGAGGACCTTCTTGCGGCAACACCAGAGGCACTCCAAGTGGCCAGATACTGGTCAAAGGACATTTAATCAGCTACCAAGTTTGCAAAATTTGTGTTTTTTGTTTTTTTGTTTGTTTTGTTCTGTTAGAAATGTAATACAATGTTCTGGTTGCAGATGACACGATAAATAAATATGTTTGCTGTATTTAAAACTGGAAAATTATCTCCAGGAAGACTGGAAGTGTTTTGAAGCCTCACATATAGAGGAAAGGATCAAATAATAACATTGGCTCTGCAAAGGAATCTCGTATCATCCATTCCTATGTATAGCACAGGATCCTGTGTAAGCTAGTAGTTATCCCTCTTATTCATTCAGTACAGTGCTTTCTTACATGTTAATCCCTGAGCACTGGAGGGTGCTCTAGTAAAGGTAAAGGTTTTCCCTTGACATTAAGTGCAGTCCTATCGGAATCTGTAGTGTGGTGCTCATCTCCATTTCTAAGCTGAAGAGCTGGCATTGTCCATAGACACCTCCAAGACAATGTGGCCGGCATGACTGCATGGAGCGCCGTTACCTTCCCACCGGAGCAATACTGTTCTGTCGCACGCTGGGCTTGAAGCGAATTGCTTTTAAAACAGGACGTGCAACTTTAGCACAGCGGGAAGCCAGGGGGGCTGAAGAGAAATTCGTAAGGATTTCTGACATAAACAGTCTGTAGAGGGCTTGTAAAATATAACAAAGTCTTTTATTGGTGAACAATCAACATAAACTACTTTTGTCTTCAAAGGGTTAAACAAATGCTTCCAGGCTCTGTGCAACTGGTGGCTTCTAACTGTTACTTTTACTCTAAAAGAAAATCCCTTTCCAAACTTCGCCCAGGCTAACTGTGATCCTAAACCTAACTGATGTGGGCACCACTACCGGGTTGAACTGCGTCTCAAAGCACCGAGTGGACCTACCAGTAGGCCTGTAGTCACTTCAGCTGGAGTTCTTAGATAATCAAAGCTGCTTTTCCCTCCAAAATTCCTTAGAGCTTTAGGGCTGTTTCCCTGGGAATCCTTTTGCTCTTAAGACTGTTCTCCCCTGGGAAGTCTTAAGGGTTGAAGCCTTTGTACAGGAGAAGTCCTGTACATTGACTTTCCTTGCTGAGACTGACTGAAAATGGCTCCCTTCCCTTCTCAATTGTCCTGAACAGGGGGCGGAACCAAACTTAATGGTGATGGACAGGGGGCCTGCCCTATAACTGCAAACTTTAAATGGAAGCCACCTTTCTGCAGAATCCCAAGCCTTGGGCTGCAAACAACACTTAATACAAGGCAAATAAAGTGGAAGCTTCTGGTACAGCTGTACCAGCACAATATCCATCCAATAATAAAGTTGGTTTCTTATTCATCAAATTCAGTGTAGGGAGGATGGAGCAGATGAGTTCATGAAACCCACATAGAAAAACCCTTTCAAGCAACCCATGACCTGGAAATACATAAACTCATATAATGCTCTTTTATGGGAGGTTTAAAATTGTCTTTCTTTTGTCCATGTGGATAAACTCCTTCAACAGCTCATGAAGCGAGAGCACACTCCAAACTCTGTCTCTCTCTGATTCTCTCTTCTAACTGACTCTGCACGTGCATAGCTCAAGCCTGAACAAAAATGTAACAGTATCCAAAAATCCCAGGCTCAGCCTGCTCCCCGGGCATTGTCCGACCAATCATCTTCATGCATCTTATTTTACAGTTGACATACACACATTAACTGATTCCTTGCATGCTCCAACACTGTCTATGGTGGAGTCTGCTATAGTATTTTAACATAATTCCTTCCATTTCCTTCTCTAGTGCCACAGCAAGGAGAATTGTTTATCACTACAGAGTTTGGAAGGTTGTTGGTGGAGCCCAATGAAATCTGTGTCATTCAGGTAAGCAGTGGATCTTTATACTGGCTTGTTTGTAAGAGTATCATGTAGGACGTTGAGTCCGCGGCCTCTATAGCTCTACTCCTAACTGTGCCTATTTTTGGAATAAGAAATTGCCTTATGCCATCAGTTAGAAACCAGCATAGAGGAGCAGTTTGAGTGTTGGACTACGACACGTTCACCTATGGGTCGCCATAAGTTTGAGATTACTTGGACTGATCAATCAGATCTTGGAAGGGGAAAAAATAGTTCTTTAACTCGGGATTATTTTTGTTCTTTCTCTTCCAGCAAGGGATGCGTTTTAGTGTAGAAGTATCTGGAGAGACACGGGGCTACGTCTTGGAAGTATATGGTGTACATTTTGAGCTGCCTGACTTGGGACCTATTGGTAAATATTCATTACTATGATTATATCCCAAAACAATAGCAATGTAATAATTTACTTTCTTAGACCTGTCGGAAATGTTACAGAATACCAAGCAAACTTTTCAATTTTGAATTCTCCTTAAACATCATACTACAAGTTCAACAGCATCAAAACATATGGAGGGGTGAGACATGTTTCAGGGTTATAACGATGTTTTAGATTTTGATAAAGATGGAGGAGGAGAAAAGAGTAAATCTCGGGGTTGGAAGAGCCTTCATCACATATTTATATTGCTAGATCCTATCAACATCAAATGAATCTTCAAAGGCTCATTGGAGGGAAGGATACTAGAGACAAAGTTGAAGTACTTTGGCCACATCATGAGGAGACAGCAAAGCCTAGAGAAGACAATTATGTTGGGGAAAGTGGAAGGCAAAAGGAAGACGGGCCAACCAAGGGCAAGATGGATGGATGGCATCCCTGAAGTAACTGGAATGACCTTGAAGGAGCTGGGGGTGCTCTGGCGACAGGGAGCTCTGGCGTGGGCTGGTCCATGAGGTCACGAAGAGTCGGAGACGACTGAATGAATCAACAACAACATCAACATCACAGTTTTGTTGTCCAAACCTTAGTTTTCTAGTGGTCAGAGTATACAACTTTCCAAGTTCTCCCCAGCTAAAAGAGCTCTATCAAATCATATATTATAGACTTCAGCTTTCTGACCCTTTGGAACTTAGGTTCTACATAGTAATATACAACTTTGTGAAATAACTTCTAAATAGAGATTACAACATAAAACATTTAATCTAAAGTAAAGAGAATCCGCCCAAGAGTCAATTGGTGTTCACTGTCTACAGTGTCCAAGTACACAAGTTGTGGTAAAGAGTCTCTTTGTGAAGAGAAAAAGTGGGGTGTAAGTAATAATAATAATAATAATAATAATAATCATCATCATCATCATCATGACCTACTCATGGTTTCTTTCTCTTCTAGGAGCCAATGGCTTGGCTAACCCACGCGATTTCCTTGTGCCAGTGGCCTGGTATGAAGATTGCCAAGTAGCTGGAGGTTATACCATTGTCAACAAGTACCTGGGGAAACTCTTTGCAGCACAGCAGGTTGGGGAATCAGAGTTTTCATTTTCATACTGGAAATTTGCATCAAAGATGAGACATGAAGGCCTAGAAATGTGATGTAGCCCATAACAGAGACTTACTTCTGTCTAAACAAACAAAAGTATGTCGACTTGAAACCAAACTGAAATCTTCCAAAATATTATTTATTTATTTATTTATTATTAGCCGTCCCCTGCCACGCATTGCTGTGGACCACTCTGGTGGTCATGGGGGTTCTGTGTGGGAGGTTTGGCCCAATTCTATCGTTGGTGGGGTTCAGAATGCTCTGTGATTGTAGGTGAACTATAAATCCCAGCAACTACAACTCCCAAATGTCAAGATTCTATTTTGCCCAAACTCCACCAGTGTTCACATTTGGGCATATTGAGTATTCGTGTAGAGTTTGGTCCAGATCCATCATTGTTTGAGTCCACAGTGATCTTTGGGTGTAGGTGACCTACAACTCCAAAACCAAAGGACACTGCCCACCAAACCCTTCCAGTTTTTTCTGTTGGTCATGGGGGTTTTGTGTGCCATGTTTGGTTCAATTCCATCGGGGTTCAGAATGCTCTTTGATTGTAGGTGAACTATAAATCCCAGCAACTACAACTCCCAAATGACAAAATCAATTTTTTGAGTGAAGGACATACATTGGGTTGTTACGTGTCTTGTGTCCAAATTTGGTGTCTATTCGTCCAGTGGTTTTTGAGTTCTGTTAATCCCACAAATGAACATTACATTTTTATTTATATAGATTTACTGTATTTGTATACCGCCTTTCTCAGCCAATTGGCGACTCAAGGCGGTTTCCAACAAATCAGTATACATAAAACATAATATAGATAAAAATATTAAACATCACAAAAGCAATAAAAACAACATCATCAGCATCTCATTATTCTCAAGTATTGTCCAGTTCCATTGTCAGGTCATTCGATTTCCTATATTCGTTACTCTGTATTTGTAAACGCTTGCTCAAATAGCCACATTTTAACTTGCCTCCGAAACGTCAAGAGGGAGGGAGCAGATCTGATCTCCCAAGGGAGGGCGTTCTATAGCTGATGGGCCACCGCTGAGAAGGCCCTGTCTCTCATCCCCGCCAGACGTGTTTGTGACAAGGGCGGGACTGAGAGCTGGGCCTCCCCAGATGATCTTAAAGTCCTCAGTGGTTCGTAAGGGGAGATACGTTCGGACAGGTAAGTTGGGCCAGAACCGTTTAGGGCTTTATAGGCCAAAGCCAGCACTTTGAATTGGGCCTGGTAGCAAACTGGCAGCCAGTGGAGCTGGCGCAACAAGGGGGTTGTATGCTCCCTGAGCGCCGCTCCTGTTAACAACCTGGCTGCCGTTCGTTGGACTAGTTGAAGCTTCCGGACTGTCTTCAAAGGCAACCCCACGTAGAGAGCGTTGCAGTAGTCTATACGGGATGTAACCAGAGCGTGGACTACTGTGGCCAAGTCAGACTTCCCAAGGTACGGGCGCAGCTGGCGCACAAGTTTTAACTGTGCAAATGCTCCCCTGGTCACCGCTGAAACCTGGGGTTCCAGGCTCAGCGATGAGTCCAGGATCACACCAAGCTGCGAACCTGCGTCTTCAGGGGGAGTGTGACCCCATCCAACACAGTCTGTGTAACCCTATGCCCTGTTTGGCCTTGCAACTGACCAGGAGTACCTCTGTCTTGTCTGGATTCAATTTCAATTTGTTCGCCCTCATCCAGACCATCACAGCGGCCAAGTACCGGTTCAGGACCTGGACAGCCTCCTTAGTAGCGGGTGGGAAGGAGTGACAGAGTTGGACATCATCTGCATACAGATGACACTGCACCCCGAAAATAAGAAAAAGGAACCTGCCAATTAGGGTACTACTCTTTAAGGTGGCACATGGGGAGTAGTAACACCAGAGACTCTCCAGATGGTTTGTGAAAAGAAAAATCCAAGAGTGACAGGCTTGTTGTGAGAGCTGTTCAGCAGTGGAACTCTTTACCCCGGAGTGTGGTGGAGGTTCCTTCTTTGGAGGCTTTTAAACAGAGGCTAGATGGCCATCTGTCGGGGGTGCTTTGAATGCAATTTTCCTGCTTTTTGCAAGGGGTTTGGACTGGATGGCCCATGAGGTCTCTTCCAACTCTAGGATTCTATGATTCTATGAAAATCAGGGTTGGCCCACTGAAATAGTTGCATTAACTTCATATTTATTTCTAGGATCAATTGAAAGTTCTGGGAATGATCTTTAAAATCCATTAAGGTTTTGTATACATGGATGCCCTCCTACTGAAATGCTCCTTGAGGTCCCAAAATACACTCTTTTGGGACCAAAATGAGGGAATTTTCAATGGCTACCCCTTGATCTAGATCAGGAATGGGCAAACTTCAGCCCTCCAGGTATTTTGGACTTCAACTCCCACAATTCCTCATCACTGGTTATTCCTCTTGTGTCAGACCTTACTGAGGCGAGGGTGAGAGACTATTTCCTCTTTAAAATCCTCTTTGCTGCCTTATACCGATTCAGTTTCTTCTTTTATATTGGCAGGGACTTTCTGTGTGCTGTTAAACCTTTGTACTTTATATCGCAGGCAATGAAACACTCTTGTGTATAACAAGTAACACAGTTTATTTATAACTTCTGGCTCCAACGCTTGTGGTTACATTTGTGTTTTGTTGCAATCTTGAGGCTTACAGTCAGTATCATTTACTTGGTTAACTTTTCTGAATAAACTATCAATGTTTCACATTCACAAACATGTTACTTGCTTTACACACTCTTGGCTGAATTATATTCTGAACTAAGGCAACACTAGCCTTCTTTATGTTCCTTAAAACTCGAGCTCTATTTAACTAACTGTTTCTCTATATCAGAAGTCTTTAACACATTTTCATAACTGCTTATTTCTATCAGGCACTCAAAAACCAACTCTCCTCTTCACACACAGATTCCTAACACATTTTCCAACTCCCTCACTCTAACTGCCTCTCTTAGAACCTTGGCTCCGCCCCTTTGGAATGTTCAGCTCTGCTCTCCCCAACTGTCATTTTGGCCTAGCAGCCTTTTCAAATCCTGGGCCTACACTAATCTGCATATGACCAATCGGTTTCACATATGCAAATGAATCCTATCTCTGCTGTTGCTACCCTGTCTGTGCCTATTCTTCCCTATCTGCCATATGTAAACATAGAGCTATACATCAAAACTTTAACATAGAGTAGCAATTTCACTACACTTACCTGAAATACAGCACATCTCTCAAGAGATCCTACCAGGTCTGTAAATCACTGCTTCTTTCTTCTCAGCAAAGTCCCCTATCACTACTAGAGATTTTTGAATTCATTTTTTAAAAACTTTGTTTTGAAAACTTTTATGTTCTTTGTGTTTATTGTCATGTTTTCAACCTGTTTGCCAAGACAGCTGCATTCTGCTTTATTTTACAGAGCTGCTCTCCATTCAATGTTGTAGCCTGGCATGGAAACTACACACCATACAAGTACAACCTCAGCAATTTTATGGTTATAAATTCTGTGGCTTTTGACCATGCGGTGAGTTTCGGCTTTTCTGGATTGACGTGGAAGCCGCATTGTTGCATTGGGTTGCTTAGTCACTTCTTTTCAAGGGAAGACCGGAAATCTAAATGGGAGTACCCCGCTCCCACAACAATGAGTTAATTACTTCTAACACAGAATAATTCAAGACCTTTGAAAAGTAATCATATTGGGGACTTGTAATTTGCATCGAAAAGAAGGTTTGGAACCTATCTACACAGCCCATATAATATAATGTAGTTTCATAATGCAGTTTAAGGAACTCTTCAGACAGGCAAGGAGAAAGTGGGGGAAAGTGAGGAAAAGCAGAGGGACTGTCTTACCCTTGTTACCTCCCATCTTTCCCCATCTTCTGGAATGGCTGGTCACCCCACATCCTTTCCCTGTCTTTTATGTGCTTTCCAATTTTGGACACCACAATTGAAAGATATTGACAAGCTGAAATGTGTCCAGAGGAGGGTGACTAAAATGATCCAGGGTCTGGAGAACATCCCCTATGAGGAGCGGCTTAAAGAGCTGGGCATGTTTAGCCTGAAGAAGAGAAGGCTGAGAGGAGACATGTATAAATATGTGAGAGGAAGTCACAGGGTGGAGGGAGCAAGCTTGTTTTCTGCTTCCCTGGAGACTAGGACGTGGAACAATGGCTTCAAACTACAAGAAAGGAGATTCCATCTGAACATTAGGAAGAACTTCCTGACTGTGAGAGCCATTCAGCAGTGGAACTCTCTGCTCCGGAGTGTGGTGGAGGCTCCTTCTTTGGAAGCTTTTAAACAGAGGCTGGATGGTCATCTGTCGGGGGTGCTTTGAATGCAATTTTCCTGCTTCTTGGCAGGGGGTTGGACTGGATGGCTCATGAGGTCTCTTCTAACTCTGTGATTTTATGGTTCCCTCGCTTTCTGATGCTTGGAGTCAGGTAACACTTGACTTTTTACTTGACCTTTGGGCTCCATTTCCAGCACTTAGGAAATGGAGCGCCATGGAGTCCCACCCAAAGTGTCCATACATCATGTGAGGACGTTCGTGGGGCTCCATTCCCAAAGTGCATGGAAAGAGAGCCCAAAGACCATTTGATGAAGTCCCCAAATATACTGAACTGCATTATATGAGTCTACACTGCCATATAATGCAGTTCAATACAGTTAAAACCATCCTTTTTTTGTGTGGCCTATGTAGGATCCCTCTATTTTCACTGTCTTGACTGCAAAGTCAACTCGTCCTGGAGTGGCAGTTGCTGATTTTGTTATATTTCCACCTCGCTGGGGAGTGGCCACCAATACTTTCCGTCCACCTTATTACCACAGTAAGTGTGTCATTAATTCCACTATATCAGGGGTCCTCAAACTAAGGCCTGGGGGCTGGATACGGCCCTCCAAGGTCATTTACCCGGCCTCGTTCAGGGTCACCCTAAGTCTAAAACGACTTGAAAGCACACAACAACAACAACAACAACAACAATCCTATCTCATCAGCCAAAAGCAGGCCCACGCATCCCATTGAAATACTAATAAGTTTATATTTGTTAAAAATTGTTCTTCATTTTAATTATTGGATTGTTTTAAGTGTTTTTTGCACTACAAATAAGATATGTGAAGTGTGCATAGGAATTCATTCATATCTTTTTCAAATTATAATCTGGCCCTCCAACAGTTTGAGGGAGTGTGACCTGGACCTCTGTTTAAAAAGTTTAAGGACCCCTGCACTATATAGTAGACTCTTAACTAACCAATAATAATAATAATAATAATAATAATAATAATAATAATAATAATCTTTATTTATACCCTACTACTATCTCCCCAATAGGGATTCGTGGCGGCTTACATGATGCCAAGCCCAAACAACAAATTACAGCAGAATAAAATGGAAAACGCAAACAATAAACAACAACAACATAATTACATAAAACATATGAATGCATATCAATATAAAATTACAATAAACACAGTCACAGTGACAATGGGTGGGCTACATGTAATTATTAGAAGAAAAACTAATTAAAAACTGATTAAAAACCATCAGCCATGGGGAATAGTAGATGACAATTAAATATAGTTGCTAGTTTCTTGAGTTACTTTTAAAAATAATACTATACATGGAATTTATTTATCTATTTATTTATTTAGAGGGACTCAGGACGGCTAACAACAGAGAATCAATATACAAATAAACTAAAGCATAATAACATCATAGTACATTAATACATTAAAACACATTAAAATACAGATCAAGAATTACATAAAGCCCATTCATCAAGATACATCACAAATTCATCCACCATCTCCCCAAGGGACTCGGGGCGGCTTAAATGAGGCCAAGCCCAACAACACATCAGTAAAAATGAAACAGCAAACAAATAAAACAGTACAATTAATATTACTCACATATAAACAATAACACAGAGAATTTAAAACCTTATGGCTGGGCCAGATGTAATAAATGTAAAAATTTTAAAATAAACACTGGGTGTGAACAGAGGTAGGATGTATCTAAGCAGGAGGGTTTTAAAAGATAACGTAGGACAGTGTTTCTCAACCTGGGGGTCGGGACCCCTGAGGGGGTCGCGAAGGGGTGTCAGAGGGGTCACCAAAGACCATCAGAAAACACAGTATTTTTTGTTGGTCATGGGGTTCTGTGTGGGAAGTTTGGCCCAATTCTATCATTGGCGGGGTTCAGAATGCTCCCTGATTGTAGGTGAACTATAAATCCCAGTATCTACAACTCCCAAATGTCAAAGTCTATTTTCCCCAAACCCCTCCAGTGTTCACATTTGGGCATATTGAGTATCCGTGCCAAGTTTGGTCCAGATCCATCATTGTTTGAGCCCACAGTGCTCTCTGGATGTAGGCGAACTACAACTCCCAAACTCAAGGTCAATGCCCACCAAACCCTTCCAGTATTTTCTGTTGATCATGGGAGTTCTCTGTGCCAACTTTGGTTCAATTCCATTGTTGGTGGGGTTCAGAATGCTCTTTGTTTACATGTTAACTACAAATCCCAGCAACTACAACTCCCAAATGACAAAATCAATCCCTTCGCCAACCCCACCAGTATTCAGATTTGGCCATACTGGATATTTGTGCCAAATTTGCTCCAGTGAATGAAAATACATCTTGCAGATCATTATTTACATGGCAATTCACGATGTTAGGGTTATGGTTGGGGGTCACCACAATATGAGGAACTGTATTAAGGGGTCACAGCATTAGGAAGGTTGAGAACCACTGATGTAGGGAGACCAACCCAACGGGTAGTAAAGTGCTTCCATTATAGCATCTTGTCTAAATTTCAGAGTGATAAAATTTAATCCATTTCCACAGGAAACTGCATGAGTGAGTTTATGGGCTTAATCAAAGGAACATATGAGGCGAAGGAACAAGGATTTCTACCTGGAGGGGGCACTCTGCATAGTATGATGACACCCCATGGGCCAGATGCTGTCTGTTTTGAGAAAGCAAGTACAAGCAAGCTACAGCCCGAGAGAGTTGCAGAGGGAACTATGGTATGAACCTCAGGAATCCAAGCGAAACAGCCAATAAATGGGGAGGTCATGTTTATATCCTGACCTTGTTTTCAGGAGTGAAAAAAGCACACACATTGCATATCCTGGAGTCTCTGATTTTCATGTTTTGTACTTCTGGATTTAATGTTCTGATTTTAATGTTTCAAAATCCTGGTCTGAGACCGTGATAGAGTTAATTCATTCCCACACATGGAAGCAAGTTGCATTATGTAATGAATATAAACTGGGTCTTGCAGATCCTTCCCTTTCTGAACACGTCTTCTTCTTCCCACAGGCCTTCATGTTTGAGACTTCTTTTAACTTGGCTGTCACCAACTGGGCTTTGAAAAACAGCCTGGACAAGAACTACTACAAGTGCTGGGAATCCCTGAAGAGCCATTTTAATGCAAAACAGAAGTGAAGAGTCTAGTTATGTGTATGCTCAGATTTTTGCTCCCAGTCCAACTAAGAATATCAAGGGAGCTGACCTTGATCAGTATTACATGCAAATACTTATGAGCAGCTGAAAGGATGAGTGACTAGTAACTGACTGAATAAAGAAAACCACGTCTTACTTACCCAAAGAATGCTTTATATGTGAAACTAGAAAAGTCTAAAAATCTCCAACAAAATATGTCTGGTGCATTTTCAAAAACACCTTTTGAAATATAATACTAAGAATAGTCACATGTTTAATGAAAATTTGGGGTTGATTGCCACAACCATAGCTTCGGTTCTCCAGAACTCTTCACCATATTTCTGCCGGGAGATCTCGATTCTCCGCCGGGATCTCCCTGCCACGATTGATACAGTAAGTGAACTTGAGACTCCGTGGCCACTCGCTGGGCACATCCTCGACCGGTTCACCCCACTGGATGCAGAGGCTGTCAATAGGATCATGACCGCAACTAGGCTGACCACCTGCTCCCTCGATCCGTGTCCCTCCTGGCTAGTAAAATCTTGCCTGGAGGGATTACGTGAACCTCTGTTGAATATAATAAATAGCTCCCTTGAGCAAGGAGTTTTTCCAGAGGGTTTAAAAGAGGCGATGGTATCTCCGCTGCTGAAGAAACCAGACTTAGATCGTTCGGTTCCCTCTAGCTACCGCCCAGTCTCGAACCTTCCGTTTCTGGGCAAGGTGGTTGAGAGGGCAGCAGCGGAACAGTTGCAGCAGTTCCTAAATGACACAGCCGGACTCGATCCCTTTCAGTCCGGCTTCCGTAGTGGGCACGGGACGAATACTGTGCTAGTTGCCATCACAGATCAGCTTCGCTGCCAGATGGATCAAGGCGGATCAGCACTGCTTGTGTTATTGGACCTCACAGCAGCATTTGATATGGTTGATCACAATCTATTGACCCACTGCCTAGCCATGACTGGGGTTAGGGGGATACCCCTTAAGTGGGTGTCCTGCTTCCTCCAGAATCGGGGACAGCGTGTGGTGAGGGGAGGGATGGTTTCCGAGAGGTCTCCGCTAGTATGCGGGGTCCCGCAGGGAGCCATTCTCTCTCCTCTGTTATTTAACATCTATATGCGACTGCTTGCCTGACTGGTGCGGAGCTTTGGGCTTGGGTGCCACCAGTATGCTGATGACACTCAGCTCATTCTGAGGATGGAGGGCCAGCCGGACTCCGTACCCGAAAATTTCCATCAGTGCCTTGAGGCCGTTACTGGATGGTTGCGTGCCAGCAGGTTGAGGGTGAATCCAGCGAAGACGGAGATCCTTTGGCTGGGCCGTCCGGGTGGGAGGGAGATCCAGCTGCCTACCCTGGATGGCGAGACACTACGTCCGTCATCTTCTGTAAAAAGCCTTGGTGTCTTATTGGACCCTCTGCTCACAATGGAGGCCCAGGTCTCTGCTGTGAGCAGATCTGCGTTTTTCCACCTACGTCAGGCTAGGCGACTGGCTCCCTTCCTATCTAGGAACGACCTGGCTACGGTGATCCAGGCGACGGTCATCTCGAGGCTTGACTACTGTAACGCCCTCTACATTGGCCTTCCTTTGTCAGTGATCCGGAAACTGAAGCTGGTGCAAAATGCGGCGGTTCGTCTTCTCGCCAGGGTGCCGGCGAGGTGTCGTATCACCCCAATTCTACAACAGCTGCACTGGCTACTGATTGAGTATCAGATTCCTTTCAAGGTGTTGGTATCAACCTTTAAGGCCTTACATGGTCTGGGGCCGGCGTACCTGAGAGCCCGCTTATCCCCCTACCAACCCAAGATTACTCTGGTCTGAAGACCAAAATTTGCTCGCAGTTCCTACCATCCGGACTTATCATTTGTCCTTGGTCCAATTTACTTACAGTCTTGCAAGGAGTAATACCTAAAATAAAGACTGGAACTCTTTCCTACTGCAATTCTGCTGCAAGTATTTTGGACCATGGGTAATTATAAGGGACTGTCAATTGTCATGGCATTTCCTCCCCAGGGTTTCAGGCAGGATTCTTTCCGGGATTCTTCAGGACCCTGAAGCACCCCTCCCCCTAATCCCAACTTAAAATTTATGGGCACCATTCATAAAGACTCTCAAAATACATGAAACGAAAAACTCTATCCTACTCAGAAGCATCACCTAATCCCATGCTCCTCCCAAGCACCTCTATTTTCATCTGCAGTCCCTCAAAATGGTAACAGAAAGTGAGAACCTCTCAGAAGAGTTCCAGAAATTGAAAGATGCAGCAGAAATGGTGCAAGAGAAGTAAAACTATATTCACTCTACTTACTAAGGAGAGTAGCCATCTTGACATAATTTAGTTCAGATGGAACTTAGGATACAGTATCTCTGAATTACAGAGGAACAACTGGAGACCCATTTCATCAAATGTATGAAGTGAAGGTAGTAGTGTGTTTAAAGCACTGAGTAAAATGCAAGATATGAACTCCACCGTCTTGTTGAACTCAAAGAACATTTAAGTAACAGGTAGCCCCCCCACCCCACCCCCCAAAAAAAACCCATGATGACCTCTAAAGTGCATCTGGGACATGCTGGAGTAATTGGATATAGCAGCTTTGATCCCTTGGGTGCAAAAAACAGTTCAGAGATCAGCATATGGCCCTTAGGCTGGACTTTGCCCATCACTGCCATAGGTGAAGAAGATGGAAATGAATAGTTTTACAATTCTGCAGCTTCTTGTGGAGGAGCAATTCTATCAGAGTTACCTTTTCACCTCTTCTTATAGTATTTTTCTTACGTTTAATGACTTCAAAATACTGAGATTATACTGAAGAATGTGTATGTAGTTCCCACAGTTTAGTTGTAACTGAATGGAAAAGAAGGTACTCCCTAGATAAGAGTTCATAATGGCGATTTCCCAAATGCTGCCATACTTCAGGCAGTATATATTTGTTTCTGAGGATCTGGCACAATTGTTTTTGATACCACTCCATGCTTACATCAGGAGAATGAGCCTTAGTCTGTTTATCCTTTGTCCTTGTCTTCCCATTTCCACATATTTTGAGAGTATGCTTATGTCCCAGAACCCAGACTGCATTTGGGTTAGGAGAATTTTCACCCACATTTAATATATCTTACCATCAAAACAAACAAGATTAACCAGTTTCAAGGATTTATTTTGAAATATTAGCAATCTTTACAGAGAATAAGCACAGCAGCATTTTCACCACACATCTGTGAGGACTTAATAGGAAATATGGAACGGTCGCTCATACTTGCCTTCTTGTATGAGCTTCTCTCTATAATCCTGCAGGGGAACAAAAATATTAAAATTGTGTTACAGTAACAATTTCTACAAAAAATTTACAAACAAAACCAATTTACTGTAAGCTAAAGATATACAAAAAGCAACATCAATACATAAGTGGGCAATAGGCAAGGGTAAAATTATATGAGACTGCAAAATCACCAAATGCAGAGATGGCCCTAAAGCTCTTCACACTAAAAATTCTGCTGTTGAGAAACTCATGAAAATACATTTTTAGCTGTATTTGCAGTTTAAGGTTTTGCCAAACCCACTTAGAGGTCTTGGTTTTGCTATCATTTTACAAAATACAAATAGTTTCGCATAATATTTAATGTAATTATTTCTGTAGTATTCAAGTATTCAAATATCTTTAATTTAGTGGTGGCACAGATTTACCCAGAAAATAAATTAATACATTTGGAAAACATGCTTTGGAAACTCAGAACAACTCTCAATAGTTAGAGGAGTTCACAGTGGCTTAAAAAAAAGTGGGCACAGGGATGAATTTTTGCATAAGGAGAATTAAAATAAGGTTCAACAATTCTTGATTTTGATGGCCACAAGCATCAGCAGTGAAGCAAGCTCTTTGGATTTCACAACATGTGCATATTAAGATACTCTTTTTATTTAAACACTAGCTGTACCCGACACGCATTGCTGTGGCCAACCTTCCCTCCCTCTTTCTCTCCTTCTTTCTTTCTCTCCTTCCTTCTCTACCCTTTCTTTACTTCCCTCCTTCTTTCCCTCTTTCTCTCCTTCCTTCCTTCTCTACCCTTTCTTTACTTCCCTCCTTCTTTCCCCTTTCTCTCCTTCCTTCCTTCTCTATCTTTTTTTCTTCTCTCCTTCCCTCTTCTCTTCCTCTTTCTCTCCCTCCTTCCTTCTCTCCCTTTTTTTCCTTCCTTCTCTCCTTCCCTCCTCCTTCTCTCCCTTTCTCTCCCTCCTTCCTTCTCTACCTTTTTTTCTTTCCTTCCTTCTTTCCCTCCTTCTTCTCTCCCTCTTTCTCTCCCACCTTCCCTCTCTACCTTTTTTTCTTTCCTTCCTTCTCTCTTTCCCTCCTTCTTTCTCCTTTTCTCTCCTTCCTTCCTTCTCTACCTTTTTTCTTTCCTTCTTTCTTTCTCCCCTCTTTCCTTCTCCTCCTACTTCCTTCCTTCTCTACCCTTCTTTCTTTCCTTCCTTCTTCCATCCCTCCTTCCTTCATCCTTTCTGTGTATGTGTTTTGTGTGTGTATATGCATATATGTGTGTATATATGTGTGTTTGTGTATATATATGTGGTTTTGTGCATGCGTTGTAATGTTGTTTTGTTTTTGGCTTTTTAAGTCCCTTCTGTTGTGTTTTCCAGAGTTTTATGAGTGATGGTCACTCCTTGGCCTAAGAGGAGTATTGTGTCCAAATTTGGTGTCAATTCGTCCAGTGGTTTCTGAGTTCTGTTAATCCCACAAACGAACATTACATTTTTATTTATATAGATGATGGGGTGTATTTCTTAATTTAAAAGAAGTGATGCAGCTAAAAGATGGCTGGACTATGAAGACTGTAGATCTCCATTTTATGAATAAGAGATAAGGCTGACCCATGATTTTTCTCTTTTTGGTTCATAGGCATAACACATTTCCTATTGCTAGGAAAAGCCCATTTTACTTGAGCTCAAAGATAAAAAACAATTTTATTCATAGACAACGAGGCTTCAGATAGAACTGGGCTACAGAATGCCTCCTCCAAAAGTCAGCCAGTGCCAGGGATGAGGTTTTCCCCTTGGCACACAGATACAACCCAGGAGGATGGAAAAAAGCAAGCATGCTGAATACCTTGCAAGGAGCTCAGAAGCACAGCACAGCAAGACACTTCTAATGTTAATCATTCAACAAAACTATAATTGAAATTGTATACTTAAAACCTTACCCTTTCTGCTTTAATGACATACCACCAGAAAAAAATGGGTCCTAATCCAAAAAGTGCACCAAACAGAGAAGTTTTGGGTGTGACACGGAAGTTGGGATAGACGTTTTGTGACCTGGCATAAACCCAACGGGTCATGGCAGGGTCATCCTAAAACAAAGAAAAAGAAGAGCAAGTGTTTCCCAACTGTGGTTTACGACAAACACAACCTGAGAGAGATACAAAATATAATCACAACAAAGATACATTAGCTTCAACTTGACACTTTCGTGTACTTCATGCCTTAGGCTTGCACTAAAAAGATGGTGGTGAGGAGGAATCCAGTAGTACAGAGTGGTCATTCCTCCTCAATTAAAATAACTTTCGATGGGTGAATAACTCGGGACTATGTCTGTTCTTGTTTTATTGTATTTTATAGTTAATTGTATTGTTTTAATCTACTGCTGTAAACCGCTCCGAGCCGAATTGGGAGTAGCGGTATACAAGCCAAATAAATAAATAAATAAATAAATAAATAAAGATAGACCCGATTTGAAATTACTGCACAAACAGAACCTAGCAGCAGTCATGTGCAAGGTGACGAACTTTACGTTATAAGGCACTTTGTGCTCTATTTCTGCAAATGACCAAGGCTAGGGGCAGTCTGCCTGCTGGGAGAGGCATCTAGCAATCATGCTATGTAACAAAATTTGCAACATTTTCTGTTCCTGGCTTGAAAGTGTTATTTCCTGTTAAACAGTGCGGTACTTAGAATCACAGAGTTGGATGAAACCTCGTGGGCTATCCAATCCAACTCCCTGTCAAGAAAGTAGTTGATATAATCCAGAAACTTCATTTTCATGGTTACCACAAACTATGTTGAACTGGTTGAGACTATGAGATATTCCTTGAAAACCTATAGCAAAATATGTTGCGCTATGTCATTTTAATAAACTTTCCCCATGTTTTTATGATAGAACCAATTAGGAAATGACATTTATATAACAGAAACAAAAACTGTATTATAGTGTTACACTACTGCGTGTCTCAAAAAGATAGACTTGATTTGAAATTGCTACACCTCTGCAAGCACAAACCACCTTAAGATGCACAAACTTTGAATCGCATTAAAGGGTGGGGCACATAGTTTCAAATGATGTGATATGCCTCTCCCAGTGCACAAACAGTCCCTAGCAGCAGTTATCTGCAAGATGATAATCTCTACATCACGACACACTTTGTGCTCTATTTTTGCAAATGACCAAGGATCTCATCAAACTAGAGAAGGGATCCACTTTAAATCCAGTTTCTGCCTCCTGTAGAATTCTGGGGCTTGTAGTTTAGGGAGGAGCTAGTCCCAGTTCCATGTGACAGTAGTGGCTAGACAAYGAACACCGACTTAGAATCATASAGTTGGAAGAGACTTCATGGGCCATCCAGTCCAACCCCCTGCCAAGAAGCAGTAAAAYCACATTCAAAGCACCCCCAACAGATGACCATCCAGACTCTGTTTAAAAGCTTCCAAAGAAGGAGCCTCCACCACACTCTGGGGCAGAGAGTTCCACTGCTGAATGACTCTCAGTTACGAAGTTCTTCCTAATGTTTAGATGGAAACTCCTTTCTTGTAGTTTGAAGCCATTGTTCTGCGTCTTAGTCTCCAGAGCAGCAGAAAACAAGCTTGCTCCCTCCTCCCTCTAACATCCTCTCACGTATTTATCCATGGCCTTTATCACGTCTCCTCTCAGCCGTCTCTTCTTCAAGCTAAACATGCCCAGCTCTTTAAGCTGCTCCTCATAGGGCTTGTTCTCCAGACCCTTGATCATTTTAGTTGCCCTCCTCTGGACACATTCCAGCTTGTCAATATCTCTCTTGAATTGTGGTGCCCAGAATTGGACACAATATTCCAGGTGTGGTCTAACCAAGGCGGAATAGAGCATGGGAAGCATGACTCCCCTAGATTTAGACACTATGCTCCTATGCTGCACCGGGATTGTGGCGCAGTTGGCTGAGTGTCAGCTGCATTAAGATCACTCTGACCAAAAATGTCACGAGTTCGAAGCCAGCCCGGGTTGGAGTGGGTTTCCAACCAATTGTGTGTAGCCTGTTGTCGACCTTTGCAACCCGAAAGTCAGTTGCCTCTGTCAAGTAGATGGCTATCATATCTCCTCTCAGCCTTCTCTTCCAGAGTAGAAGTCCTCAAAGCAGGTTATTGTTATTAATATTATATTTATAACCTGCTTTATCTTTATCTGCAAGACGTGGACTGTCTACAGACGTCACATGCAACTCCTGGAACGATTCCATCAGCGCTGCCTCTGGAAAATCCTGCAAATCTCTTGGGAAGACAAGCGGATAAATGTCAGAGTGTTGGAAGCAGCAAAGACCACCAGCACTGAAGCGATGATCCTCTGCCATCAACTCTGCTGGACCAGCCATATTGTCCGGATGAGGGAATTAACACAGAGAGTACAGTAAGTAACACTTTCAAATCTGGGCACCACAATTCAAGAGAGATATTGACAAGCTGGAATGTGTCCAGAGGAGGGCGACTAAAATGATCAAGGGTCTGGAGAACAAGACCTATGAGGAGTGGCTGAAAGAACTGGGCATATTTAGCCTGAATAAGCGAAGGTTGAGAGGAGACATGATAGTCATGTATAAGTATGTGAGAAGAAGTTGTAGAAAGGAGAGAGCAAGCTTGTTTTCTGCTTCCTTGGAGACTAGGACGGCAAACAATGGCTTCAAACTACAAGAGAGGAGATTCCATCTGAACATGAGGAAGAACTTCCTGACTGTGAGAGCCGTTCAGCAGTGGAACTCTCTGCTCTGGAGTGTGGTGGAGGCTCCTTCTTTGGAAGCTTTTAAACAGAGGCTGGATGGCCATCTGTCAGGGGTGATTTGAATGCAATATTCCTGCTTCTTGGCAGGGGGTTGGACTGGATGGCCCATGAGGTCTCTTCCAACTCTTTGATTCTATGAGAGAGAAGAAAAGAAGGTGGTGCTAAGCCCAGTTCCATACCATGTGAGCCTCAAACTGTGGTGACTAGACAACGAACACCCACTACATGTGAATCAAAGCTCTGTGGTTTGTGTAATCACCATGTAGGCCTCAAACTGGTTCAAGGATTTCCTATGCAATAATATGTATAGCAATTTTTTCTTCAAGACAGGTGTGCAGGTATGCAGATGTGCCCTTAGTCTGGAGTCCAGGCATGTCAAACTGCGGTTCTCCAGCTGTTTGGGCCTCCAATTCGCAGAAGCCCCCTCCAGCTTGTTGAATTCTGAAAATTGGAGGCCTTCACAGCTGGAGGGCGGCAGGTTGAGGCGGCCTGCTTGGGAGGCCCCACGCTCCACTCACGATGAGCTGGGTCCGCCGGGGGTCGTTGAGCTTCAGGAGGTAGTCGTGCTTGAGGCGGGCGCGGAGGGCCAGGCGCTCGGCGTTGGCGCGGCGCTTCTCTGGCGAGGCATCGTACTCGGCCGGGTCGAGCTGCGGCGGGAGCGAGGCCAAGGGCGCTGGGCGGTACTTGGTGCGCGGGGGAGAGGGCGCCTCCATCTTGAAGGGCAAGGAGACGCCGCCGGAAGCGCAGGCCCCGCCGGAAGGAACCCCGCGCCTCGCACTAAAGAGGAGCGTCCGAGGGCCAGAGCGGCCTCTGAGCATTTCCGGATTCAGCGGCCGGAAGGTGTTGGGCGAGTCCGACCAATTTGAATAGGAACCTCGCGAATGTATTCCGGGTACTTCCCTTCTGCTGTCATCCCTTCTCTCTCTCCTTCCTTCTTCAGAGCCCTCCCTCTCCCTTCCCTCCTTTTCCTTTCTCCTTCCTCCCTTCTCTAACCCCCTCCCGTGATTAAAGAGATTGCCAGGATTCCCTTTTGAATGTCTCCATTATGAGAATGTTTATTTATGATGTACTAGCTGTCCCCTGTCTGCTTCATTGACTACTCTAAAGCCTTTGACTGTGTGGATCATAATAAATTGTGGCAAGTTCTTGGTGGGATGGGCATACCAAGCCACCTTGTCTCTCTCCTGAGGAATCTGTACAAGGACCAAGTAGCAACAGTAAGAACGGACCACGGAACAACAGACTGGTTCAAGATTGGGAAAGGCGTACGGCAAGGCTGCATCCTCTCACCCAACCTTTTTAACTTGTATGCAGAACACATCATGCGAGGATGTGCGGGGCTTGAGGAATGCAAAGCTGGGGTGAAAATGGCTGGAAGAAACATTAACAACCTCAGATATGCAGATGACACCACTCTGATGGCCGAAAGCGAGGAGGAGCTGAGGAGCCTTCTAATCAAGGTGAAAGAAGAAAGCGCAAAAGCTGGGTTGCAGCTAAACATAAAAAAAAAAAACCAAGATTATGGCAACAAGAATGATTGACAACTGGGAAAATAGAGGGAGAAAATGTGGAGGCCGTGACAGACTTTGTATTTCTAGGTGCAAAGATTACTGCAGATGCAGACTGTGGCCAGGAAATCAGAAGACGCTTACTTCTTGGGAGGAGAGCAATGTCCAGTCTCGATAAAATAGTAAAGAGTAGAGACATCAGACTGGCAACAAAGATCCGCCTAGTCAAAGCCATGGTATTCCCTGTAGTAACCTACGGATGTGAGAGCTGGACCTTAGGGAAGGCTGAGCGAAGGAAGATCGATGCTTTTGAGCTGTGGTGTTGGAGGAAAGTTCTGAGAGTGCCTTGGACTGCGAGAAGATCCAACCAGTCCACCCTCCAGGAAATAAAGCCCGACTGCTCATTGGAGGGAAGGATACTAGAGACAAAGTTGAAGTACTTTGGCCACATCATGAGGAGACAGGAAAGCCTAGAGAAGACAATTATGCTGGGGAAAGTGGAAGAAAAGGAAGAGGGGCCAACCAAGGGCAAGATGGATGGATGGCATCCTTGAAGTGGCTGGATTGACCTTGAAGGAGCGGGGGTGGTGACGGCCGACAGGGAGCTCTGGCGTGAGCTGGTCCATGTGGTCACAAAGAGTTGGAAACGACTGAAAATAAACTAGCTGTCCACTGCCACGCGTTGCTGTGGCCCAGTCTGGTGATCTGGAAAATAAAGTAATGAGAAAGTGTTGGTTTCTAATATATGTAATTCCTTTATGCTTGTGGGTAAACAGTATTTCTTGCTGTTTCTTTGTCAGTGTTGATGTGGAGAGTGTCTGGTTTGCCCACCCTGGAACATGCAACATATCATTGTCCTTCTTTAAGGGTCTCTTTCAAATCTGTGATACTATATCTGTGTGTGTGAGAGAGAATCATATCTATCTATCTATATTTATGACTGGATGGCTCTTTGTCAGGAGGGCTCTGATTACATTTTCTTGCCCTGGTGAAGAGAGTTGGACTGGATGGCCTTAAGTATTTTCTGTTGGTCATGGGGGTTCTGTGTGGGAAGTTTGCCCCAATTCTGTCGTTGGTGGGTTTCAGAATGCTCTTTAATTGTAGTGAACTATAAATGACCAGTAACTACAAATCCCAAATGTCAAGGTCTATTTCCTCCAAACTCCATGTGTGTTCATATTTAAGCATATGGAATTTTTGTGTCAAGTTTGGTCCAGATCCATCATTGTTTGAGTCCACAGTGCTCTCTGGATGTAGGTGAACTACAACTCCCAAACTCAAGGTCAATGCCCACCAAACCATTCCAGTGTGTTCTGTTGGTCATGGAAGTCCTGTATGCCATGTTTGGTTGAATTCCATCATTGGTGGAGTTTAGAATGCTCTTTGATTGTAGGTGAACTATAAATCCCAGCAACTACAACTCTCAAACTCTATTTCCCTTAAACTCCATCTGTGTTCATATTTGGGTCATATTTGGGCATATGGAATATTCGTGCCAAGTTTGGTCCAGATCCATCATTGTTTGAGTCCACAGTGCTCTCTGGATGTGGGTGAACTACAATTCCCAAACTCAAGGTCAATGTCCACCAAACCCTTCCAGTTTTTTCTGTTGGTCATGGGAGCCCTGTGTGCTAAGTTTGGCCCAATTCCATCATTGGTGGAGTTCAGAATGCTCTTTGATTGTAGGTAAACTATAAATCCCAGCAACGACAATTCCCAAATGACAAAATCAATTTTTTTTGAGTGGAGGACATAAATTGGACTGTTAGGTGTCTTGTGTCCAAATTTGGTGTCAATTCCCCCAGTGGTTTTTGAGTTCTGATGGTAGCACGAACTAACGTTACATTTTTATTTATATAGATTATTATTGAACTCTATAAAATGAAGGCAAATGTACATGAATCCATGAACTCCAGTAACCTCTCTTGACCAACCAGAGATGGGACATAATGTATGGAACAAAGGACCTTCCTGGATCTCAGTGGAAGCCCATCTGCCCACTGCCAAGCAGTTCCCCTTCAGGGATGTTAGTCATCCATGGGACAAAGGTCCAGGACAAAACCGTGATTATGTTCCCATCAACAAATATACATCTTTGGGACTGTTTCTTTGTCTCCCAGCATGGGAAGATGTCTGGGAAAACAATCCCTATTGTCCTTTCCAGCAGGGTTCAGTATCTACATAATCCTGCCAATTTTTATTGATTTTATTTATTTTGTATCAAAAGCACTGCATAAATCAGTATAAAACTGATAAAAATAGAAGGAGCGCAGGCAGTTGTAGCCTCATACAGATTCGGAGTTGTCTGTTCTGCTCCACAGTCACACAAGGTGTGGGATTCTTTTAGGTAGTGCCATTTTGCCAGGTTGTCTTTTGATCTGCCCACTCCACTTCTGAGTCTGTTCAGGGACTTCCAAGTTGCCCATTCTTGGTTTGCCCCTGGAGGAAGACCCTTGTGGGGGGCCATCCAGTTGGGATTTCCTGGTTTCCCGGGATTGTGGCGCAGCTGGCTGAGTGTCAGCTGCATTAAGATCACTCTGACCAAAAGGTCATGAGTTCGAAGCCAGCCCGGGCTGGAGTGGGTGTCCAGCCATTGTGTAGCCCGTTGTCGACCTTTGCAACCCGAAAGACAGTTGCATCTGTCAAGTAGGAAAATAAGGTACCACCTTGTGTGGGAGGCTAAATTTAACTAATTTATGAGGCCATAAAGAAAAAAGACTCCGGGGAATGTGGAATGCGGAAGAACTTCATCGGTGTCGCTGATGGACGATGAAAAGCAGCAGCTCCCCTGGCGGCCAGAAAAAAGTTAAATAGCCTTGGTGTATTTGTGTGTTAAATGTTGTTTGTCAAAACTGGCATTGAATGGTTGCCATATATGTGTTGACTGTAATCCGCCCTGAGTCCCCTGCGGGGTGAGAAGGGCGGAATATAAGAACTGTAAATAAATAAATAAATAAATTTAGCTGCCCAGAGGGAGATCCTTGCTGTTGCTGGGGGGACACCAAGAGGAGTGGAAATTCTCATAAAGGTTTTCCTTGATTTGAGTCTACTGGGAGCAGGCTGATAGCCATGTAGTGGATGGCTTTCAGTGTTCAACCTTATTTCTCTCACATTTAGCAGCAACTTCCCGTCACACATTGGGGGGGGGGGGGGCAATGCCAGCTAGCTTGTAGAGTTTATCAATAATAATAATAATAATAATAATAATAATAATAATAATAATAATAACAACAACAACACTTTCTTTGGACCCCTCTACCATCTCCCCAAGGGACTCGGTGCAGCTTACATGAGGCCGAACCCAAACACAACAATACAAGCAATAATAACAACAATACAAGCAATTAAAAACATAAACAATAAAATACACAAGATTATCAATAAGACAACACACAATTAAAAAACTGTGGGAAGGCCAAATGTAGAGTTAAAATTGGAAATAATGCTGGGACATGGACGAAAGGTGATACTGGTGTTTGTGGAAGGGCATACGAGCAGACCTAAAGAAATGTAAAGTGCTTTGGAGGACAAAGTGCTATGGGATCATTATTCCGGGAAGGCACACTGGAACAGCCACGTCTTCAAGCTCCTCCTGAAGACTGCCAGAGTTGGAGCCTGTCTGATGTCTTTAGGGAGTGAGTTCCAGAGTCGAGGGGCCACCACCGAAAAGGCCCTCTCTCTCGTCCCCACCAATTGCGCCTGCGATGGTGGTGGGATCGAGAGCAGGGCCTCTCTGGATGATCGAAGAGATCGTGTGGGTTCGTATACAGAGATACGGTCACACAGGTAGGCGGGTCCCAAACCGTTCAGGGCTTTGTAGGTAAGAACCTGCACCTTGAATTGGGTCTGATAGATGAATGGCAGCCAGTGGAGCTCCTTGAACAGGAGGGATGACCACTCCCTGTAAGGAGCCCCAGTTAACAACCTGGCTGCCACCCGTTGGATCATCTGAAATTTCCGGGCCGTTTTCAAGGGCAGCCCCACGTAGAGTGCATTGCAGTAATCCATTCTAGAGGTGACTAAGGCATCGACCACTTTGGCCAAACAGGTGTAGGTTTAAGACATCCTGTGATTATTCTGCATGTTTCATTCAACGCTATGTTCACCTGCTTTGCATGGGCAGACTTATGCCAAACAGGGTTTGGTTTGTGCTTGGTGTTCAAGCAGTGTTTTCTACATTTATTTATTTATTTATTATTTACTTTGCTTCTATACCGCTGTTCTCAGCCCGAAGGTGACTCACAGAGGTGTACAACATAGAAAACAGGGTTCAAAATTCAAGACACAATCTAAAACAATCCACAATCCAGTATTAACAACATATGCTAGTGTTCGATCTAAGGTGACATCAAGATATTTAGGATGGAAACAGTGTTCAAGCTCTTGACCTTCCCAGGTGACTTTCAATTTCCTGTTGGCTTCACGATTGCGTAGGTGGAAAGCACACACTGTCTTGGCAGGGTTAGGCTTCAAGTGGTTATCTTTGTAGTAGCTAGAGAGATCTTTCAAGGCATTAGTAAGTTGGATTTCAACTGTTTCAAAGTCTTTTTGCTTGTGTTGTTAGGCCAAGGTCATCAGCATATATAAAGCTCTTCGTGAGTGGTGGTTGTGGCAGATCGTTTGTAAAGATATTAAACAAGGTTGGTGCAAGAACTGCAATCCTGCCAAATCATCTTTTGGACTTTTCTTTGTCTCCAACACACCTAGGAGCTGGCTTGATTCCCAGGGACCTCTCTGCCTCCAAGACCGCCTCCGCCAGCCCATTGGAAGCCCTGGGGCCTCCCTGCCCAGCTGGGAGGAGATCCCCGGACATAATCACCGGCCAGGGCCAACCTCCTAACCAATCAGAGGCCTGGGGGACACCAGCTGGCTTCTTGGTGCCGGCCAATCAGGAGAAAGGGGGGGGGGGGCTTTCAAAATTTAGCAATGTTAATGCATGAGAATTCTTGTGTATAAAAATATCTGCTTATGATTATGTTTTTACACTTGTACTCTTCAAGCATCCATGCTGTACAAGTGTCCCTTTTGTGCAAACTGAATAAAGTATCTGTTTGCTTTCAACCTGGTGAGATTCTTGGTTCCTGATTCCTGTTTTGTGCTACCAACGGTTAGCAAAGCTTGCCAGGTGTCCCTCGGTTATCCATGGGACTTAGAAAAATTTACGACTGTAAAAAGAAGTTATATTGAGGTATGACAAAGAGATCATAAGATACACATCAACCAACAATGTGATGCAATGACAAAAGAACAAGAGCTTACAGTCTCTACAAAGGTTTTTTTTTTCCTGGACAAATGGAAGGTAAAATACATAAAATCATAGAATCATAGAGTTGGAAGAGACCTCATAGGCCATCCAGTCCAACCCCCTGCCAAGAAGCAGGAATATTGCATTCAAAGCACCCCTGACAGATGGCCATCCAGCCTCTGTTTAAAAGCTCCAAAGAAGGAGCCTCCACCACACTCCGGGGCAGAGAGTTCCACTGCTGAACAGCTCTCACAGTCAGGAAGTTCTTCTCTGGAAGGAGAAGTTCATCTCTGGAAGGAGAAGTTGATCTTGACAGGGATAACAGCGATGATATCTACATACAATGTAAAGTGATTTCTCAGCAACTGAAAGTGAACAGCTGAATGAAGTTACTCTACTGAAAACCATTATGTCATTGGGAATATATAGGGATATCAAAGTTTTGTGTAGAGTGTAGTGGTTCATTTGCACACAGGAATTGCCATGGTGTTAATGTCTTCAAAAGATAGACATTCATGCTTGTATTCCTTTAAAAAGTCTCATGGAAGATGGAAATGCTAAGGCTGTTTGGTCAGGGCCTCTTGGATAGCTTCGCTACAGCCAGACAGATTCATTTGGTTGAGAACGTTACTGATATGCTCCACAGAGGCACCATGACCGGCCTGCTGTTTCCACTGTCTTAGCATCTCATATTGTGCTTCTCTTACATGCCGTTGTTCAATACTGATTCTTTCCATCGTGTTGTCATCCAGTCCCAAGTAACGCATGAATTCCCTCCACCGGGACATAGGTACATGATCTGCGATAGTGTACAAAACATTAGGATCTGTGGGGAAAAAGAACAAGTGTTATTCTGGACCGCCTATGCTATTGTTTGGTCTATCCACTTAAAAAGTTCCATCAAACTCAGCATGACATAATTCTGGATAAACATGCTAAGGATTGCACTACTGCACAGAAGAAACACGAGGCCTTCTAAACTAGCATGGAACTATTTGTGATCATATAGTGTGCAGAAGGAAGGGCATAGGATGCATTTGTCGTTCCCAGGGTATTTCATAGCTCCAAAAATGCCACAATGAATATATATCTCAAAAGATCCCTTGTATCCTCCAAGAGGTATGGTGGCAATTATGGACCACACTTGAGGCTGATTAGGCAAGAAAACAGACCTTTTGGGAAAAGTAGGAAATTTATGCAAAATTGTTCCAGGAACATGTGGGAACGTTTTGAATAAGAATGTTTTAAAACTGAACATTAAAAAACAAAAACCAAGAGTGGAGAGAAGTTGTGTTGGTACAGCTGTACCAGGAGCTCCCTCTTTATTTGCTTTGTATTAAATGTTTGCTTGCAATCAGGGATTCTGCAGGAAGGTGGCTTCCTTTGGTTGCAGTCGTAGGGCAAGTCACCTGTCCATCATCATTAAGTTTTGGTTCCGCCCCTTGCTCAGGGCAATTGGGAAGGGAAGGGAGCCATTTTTTAGTTAGTCTCAGCAAGGAAAGCTAATGTACAGGACGTGTGCAAGCTTCCCCTGTACAAAAGCTTCAACCCTTAAGACTTTCCGGGGGAAAACAATAGAGTCTTAAGAGTCTCCAAAGATTTCCAGGAAAACAGCCCTAAAGACCAAAGAACTCCAGCTGGAGAATATCTAAACCTTTACTGGTAGGTCCACTCGGTGCTTCGAGACGCAGTTTGACCCGGTAGCGGAGCCCACATCAGTAAGGGTTAGATTACAGTCAGCCTGGGAGAAGTTAAAAAGGGGATTTTCCATTTAAAGTAAAGAAGAAGATATCTCATAGAATCATAGAATCATAGAATCAAAGAGTTGGAAGAGACTACATGGGCCATCCAGTCCAACCCCCTGCCAAGAAGCAGGAATATTGCATTCAAATCACCTCTGACAGATGGCCATCCAGCCTCTGTTTAAAAGCTTCCAAAGAAGGAGCCTCCACCACACTCCAGGCAGAGAGTTCCACTGCTGAACAGCTCTCACAATCAGGAAGTTCTTCCTAATGTTCAGATGGAATCTCTTTTCTTGTAGTTTGAAGCCATTGTTCCGCGTCCTAGTCTCCAGGGAAGCAGAAAACAAGCTTGCTCCCTCCTCCCTGTGGCTTCTTCTCACATATTTATACATGGCTATCATATCTCCTCTCAGCCTTCTCTTCTTCAGGCTAAACATGCCCAGCTCCTTAAGCCGCTCCTCATAGGGCTTGTTCTCCAGACCCTTGATCATTTTAGTCGCCCTCCTCTGGACACATTCCAGCTTGTCAAATCTCTCAATTGTGGTGCCCAGAATTGGACAGAGTATTCAAGATGTGGTCTAACCAAGGTAGAATAGAGGAATAGCATGACTTCCCTAGATCTAGTCACTATACTCCTATTGATGCAGGCCTGTCCTTCGTGGGCAAGATTAGGAAGTCACCAGTTGCATAAAGCCTGGAAGCATTTGTTTAGCTTTATTGAAGACAAGAGAAGTTTCTGTTTGATTGTTCATTAATAAAAGACTTTGTTATACTTCACAAGCCATCTAAAGGTCATTTGTGGTGGAAAACCTCTGAGAACCTCTCCTTGGCCCCTGGCTTCCCGCTGGGCAAAGGTTGCACGTTCTGTTCTAAAGGAAATTCTTCACAGGCCCAGCCCGCGACACAACAGAAGTGGTGAGATACACAGCCTTCTATGGTATTGTGAGGCTTGTCTTCAGACAGTTGCCCACCTCTGAAATAAGTGTCACCAAGTAAGCTTTCAGTGTAGAGATATGGAAATGTATGAATTGTATTTTAATGTATTTTATATTGATGATTTATAATGCTTTTCTTATTGTATTGAATCTTATGTTGTTAGCCAGCCTGAGTCCCTCCTCGGAGGCATACACGGGTCAGGGAGGCAAACACCTCCTCGGAGGTCGAGAAGACCGGGTTATAAAAACTCTAAATAAATAAATAATAAATAAATATAGCTTAATTCAGACATCATTCCTAACCATGGTAGAGAAACGACAACTATATTTTAAAACACTTCTATTGATATATATTCATTGTGGCATTGCTCGAACAGCCATGTTTTTACTCTAAAATTTCTGGATTATATTAATTTTCTAGATATGCAATACTCAGCCTTTTTTGGACGAATAGGCACATTTTATTTATTTATTTATTTACTGTATTTGTATACTGCCTTTCTCAGCCAATCGGCAACTCTAGGCGGTTTCCAACAAATCGGTACACATAAAACATAATATAAATTAAGACATTAAACAGTATAAAACATCACAAGAGCAATAAAAACAACATCATTAGCGTCTCCTTATTATCAAGCTTTGTCCAGTTCCATTGTCAAATCATTCAATTTCTTATAATAGCGACTCTGCATTTGTGAATGCTTGCTCGAACAGCCATGTTTTGCCTATGAAACATTAAGAGTGAGGGAGCATATCTGATCTCCCTAGACAGGGTGTTCCATAGCCGAGGGGCCACCGCTGAGAAGGCCCTGTCACTCGTCCTCGCCAAACGGATCTCTTACAAGATACTGATCCTGACATTTAGTGCTCAAAATGGCCAAGGACCTTTATATCTTAGGGACCGCCTCATTCCTCTTCTCCATCAGTGGTCACCTCGATCCACCCAGGAAAATCTCCTATACATACCCTAGGGAGGTACACCTGGAAGCTACAAGGCATAGAACTTTTTTGACCTATGCTCCAATTCTGTGGAACTCATTGCCTCCATACATTAGAGCAACGTCGGAGTTGCGACCTTTTCTAAAGGCGCTCAAGACTTGGCTGTTTGGTTGTGCATTTAAGTAAAGTGATCAGATCTAATTTGCCAAATAGTTGCTGTTGAATGTTTTTATATTGTGTAAATGCTATTTTAAATTGTAAGTTGCTCGGAGCACCTTGGTGGAGAGCGACTAATAAAGAAATAAAGTGAAGTGAAGTGAAGTGAAACATACTTGTGACGAAGGCAGGACCGAGAGCAGGGCCTCCCCAGACGATCTTAAAAGTTCTTGATGGTTCGTAAGGGGAGATACGTTTAGACAGGTAAATTGGGCCAGAACCGTTTAGGGCTTTATAGGCCAAAGCCAGCACTTTGAATTGGGCCCAGTAGCAAACCGGCAGCCAGTGGAGCTGGCGCAACAAGGGGGTTGTATGCTCCCTGAGTGACGCTCCTGTTAGCAACCTGGCTGCTGTTCGTTGTACTAGTTGAAGCTTCCAGACTGTCTTCAAAGGCAACCCCACGTAGAGTGCGTTGCAGTAGTCTATACGGGATGTAACCAGAGCATGGACTACCGTGGCCAAGTCAGACTTCCCAAGGTATGGGTGCAGCTGGCGCACAAGTTTTAACTGTGCAAATGCTCCTCTGGTCACCGCCGAAATCTGAGATTCATCATTTTCAGACTCATCATTTTTCCATCATTTCCAAAAGGTCATGAGTTCGAAGCTAGCCCGGGTTGGAGTGGGTTTCCAACCAATTGTGTGTAGCCGGTTGTCGACCTTTGCAACCTGAAAGACAGTTGCATCTGTCAAGTATGAAAATTAGGTACCACCTTAAAGTGTGGGGAAGCTAAATTAACTGATTTATGAGGCCATAAAGAAGACTCCAGCAAAGCATTCCAGCGGGGAAGCATGCGGGGAATGCGGAAGTGCTTCGCCAGTGTCGCAGGTAGACGATGAAAGCGACAGCTCCCCTGGTGGCCAGAAAAAGTTAAATAGCCTCTGTGTATGTCTGTATATGTTTGTATGTCAAAAATTGGCATTGAATGTTTGCCATATATGTGTACACTGTAATCCGCCCAGAGTCCCCTGCGTGGTGAGAAGGGCGGAATATAAAAGCTGGAAATAAATAAATAAATGAGAAATGTAGGAAATAAGTCAGTGAGGCTGAATTATGTTTACTAGAAGAGTCACCTACTCAAAGTGAGCTAGGGTTGAAGGGAACTAGGGTTCCCTTTCTCTCTGCTCATCTTTTGATTTAAAATAGAACAATTTTATACACACATTCCACCAAAAAATAAATAGACCAATGTGGCTGTCTCTGTTACATCTAGTCTTTTCTTTCATCTTTCTCTTTCTGTTTTGAGAAAGTCAGACTGAAAGTGAGGCACATCATTACAAAGTAAAATGCTAAAGTTTTTGTTTTCTCTTGCATGTCTCTTCTTGCTTTCTGTCCTTGGAAAGAGGTAGTAAGGTCTGTTGGAACTAGGAAAAAGGGCTTATATATCTGTGGAATGACCAGGATGGGACAAAGGACTCTTGTCTGCTGGAGCTAGGTGTGAAGGTTTCAACTGACCACCTTGATTAGCATAGAATGGCCTGAGGATGCTTGCCATAGATGCAGGCGAAACGTCAGGAGAGAATGCCTCTAGACCATGGCCATATAGTCCGAAAAAACCTACAACAACCCAGTGATTCCGGTCATGAAAGCCTTCGACAATACAGTAATAATAGAGTAAAATAATAAATGTAGTAATAATAAGGTAAAATACTGTAAATATAATTATAATAATAATAATAATTAGATTAAAATAATAAATGTAATAATAATAGGGTAAAATACTGTAAATGTAATAATAATAGAGCAAAAATAAATAGAATAATAATAGAGCAAAATAATGTAGTAATGATAATAATAATAATAATAATAATAATAATAAATGTAATAAAATAATACTAATAGCAGAYTAAAAGAATAAATAACCTTGACTCGAGTATAAGCCGAGGGGAGCTTTTTCAGCCTAAAAAAGGGGCTGAAAAACTAGGCTTATACTGGAGTATATACAGTATGTTCTTAAATCTCTTCAATACTCCCATCACATTCTGAAGARATGCTACACAAAGTCAACTTTTCTCACTTGCGCATATGGAAATGAACTTGGAAATGAAGCTGAACTCACAATCTGGAATCAGTGTTTCTCTTGCAGGTCTTACACAATCGGATAGCAGCACGGCTGGGCTTGCCTGTGACAATTGTTGCTCTTCATTCTCTCGACACAGAAGGGAGCAATTTGTTTTATTGTTGTTCTAATGAGCAAGGACAACATAGCAGATAAAATGTTTTAATGCTTGTGGAACCAATTTGAGAGATCAAAAAACTGAAGGAGACAGGATTCAAAAAGTTAAAAATATAGTTTTATTCTTGCTGATTCCAATTATTTTAAAGCAAAACAGGATATTTTGGTATATTTTAGGGGTGGAAGAATATGAAACTATTTGGAAATGAAGAAAAACTATTAATAACAAGATCATCAAGTATTTTTTGCTTTGAGGGACATGGGACTAGGGTATTGCAAGATAAGAAAAGTAGGAGGTTTTAAATAATTGCACTATAACCACTGAAAGGAAGAATGACAACAATCTCCTTCCTTTTTCTTGATTCTTTCTATGTTTATTCTTTGTATCTCCCCTTCTTCTTTATTCCTTATATTCTCTGACTCTTTATCTTTTCTGCTTTATATTACTGTTATTTTTCTTTCTTTTTCTTTTTGTAATATTTTAACCTTTGCAATATTTTTTTAAAAGTGCTTCTCTGCAATATGGCACCAATATGGCACCAATTAACCTGTGTTGAAGAAATCTATTCCAACTAGGGTTCCAGTTTGGTTTGGGAAGAGGAACAAATATTTCTACCAGAAACTGGATGTTGTGGGCTGCATTGGTTCTGCTGGACCTCTCAGTAGCATTTGTCATTGCATCTTTCTGGGCATTTGGCTGATTTCGGATTAGATAGCATTATTTTGTGGCAATTCCAGTTCTATATTGCTGACTGTTTCTAGAAAGTTGTCTTAGGGGACTATTGTTTAACCCAGGTGTCCACAAACTTCTTAAACACAGGGCCAGGTCACAGTCCCTCAAACTGTTAGGAGGGCCAGATTATAATTTGAAAAAAATGAATGAATTCCTATGCACACTGCACATTTCTTATTTGTAGTGAAATAAACACTTAAAAATACAATAGATGAAGAACAATTTTAACAAAAATAAACTTACTAGTATTTCAGTGGGAAGTGTGGGCCTGCTTTTGGCTAATGAGATAGGATTGTTGTTGTTGTTGTATGTTTTCAAGTCATTTCAGACTTAGGTTGACCCTGAGCAAGGGCCGGGTAAATGACCTTGGAGGGACATATCCAGGTCCTGGGCCTTAGTTTGAGGACCCCTGCAAGTAAGAGATGTTTTAGATAGTAGACCCCTGCATAAACACATAAAGCATTGGTGTTGCAGAACTCAAAATATCCTTCAGCCCAAACCACCCATGTCCAAAGTAGCAGAAGTTGGAAATTGGAGTATTACCTTTGTAGTAGGTTCTCCTGTTATTTCCTGATCCAAAGCTGGGGGGGGGGGGGGGGGGAGAGAAAAAAAATTACAACCATAAAATGAGATTTCTTTCAGTTTGTCCTAATTCGGAACAGACGGATTTTCCACCTCTAGAACATGGCCATATAGCCCGAAAAAACCCACAAGAACTGAGTGATTCCAGCCATGAAAGCCTTCGACAATACATTGGATTTTCCACCATTTGTTTTTGTTGAGCTACTAGATAATAATAGTAATAGTAATAATAATAATAATAATAATAATAATAATAATAATAATAAACCTTTATTTGTACCCCGCTACCATCTCCCGAAGGACTCAGTGCGGCTTACAAGAGGCCGAGCCCAAATACAACAATAAAACTACAACAACAATAATACAGCAAAATAAATCAAAAACAAAGCAATAACAAAGCAATTTCATTGTTGTCTGGCAATGATGGTGATGGTTATTTTAACACATTCTATCTTCCCCCAACGTTTTGTAAAATCACACCTGTAAAGTTAAATGCAGTTTTTACAATGGACTCTGCAGAAAATACTTCAGCTGTACTTCATAAAAAGGAAAAACTTCATAAAAAGGAAAATACTTCAGCTGTACTTCATAAAAAGGAATTGGACAATGCTTGAGAATAATGAGACACTGATGATGTTGTTTTTATTGCTTTTGTGATGTCTTATACTGTTTAATGTTTTTTATCTATATTATGTTTTATGTATACTGATTTGTTGGAAACCGCCTTGAGTCACCAATTGGCTGAGAAAGGCGGTATACAAATACAGTAAACAAACCAACAAACAAACAAACAAATAAATAACATTAACCACACACAATGACGCGAGGCCAAATATAATAATTAAAACTAAAATTAAAAAGTGCTGCATGACCAGGAGAAAAGGTGGGTGTTTGGAGAGGGATGGGTATGCAGATATCCTAAATCTCTGATAAAGTGCGTTGGGGACAAAATGCTTGGAGTTTCCTTATTTTGGGAAGGCACACTGGAACAACCATGTTTTCAAGCTCCTCCTAAAAATTGCCAGCGATGGGGCTTGCCTGATGTCCTTAGGGAGAGAGTTCCAGAGTCGAGGGGCCACCACCGAGAAAGCCCTGTCCCTCGTCCCCACCAATCGCGCTTGCAATGCAGGTGGGATCGTAAGTAGGGACTCTCCAGATGAACGAAGAGATCATGTCGGTTCGTATGCAGAGATGCGGTCACGCATACATTATTTAAACTGTTATGTTATTCATATCATGATCTGATCACCATGCTCAATATATCCCATATGCATGGGGGTATTGGGGTAATGATACAAAAGGTTTGCTAGGGTAGACCCTCTTTCACTCAGACTCACCCCCCCCCCCCAAATCAAACTCAGCTCCCCCCAAAACAAAATCCTGGCTACGGGCCTGGGTCTCTAACAGCCATCCCAGATCTCTTTGCTCTATACCTGTCCAGTGAATAAAACCATCATCATCATTTATACTAGGGGTCCTCAAATGTTTTAAACAGAGGGCCAGGTCACAGTCCCTCAAACTGTTGGGAGGGCCGGATTCTAATTTGAAAAAAGCATGGATGATTTCCTATGCACACTGCACATATCTTATTTATAGTGCAAAAAGCACTTAAAAACAATACAATAATTAAAATGAAGAACAATTTAAACAAATATAAACTTATTAGTATTTCAATGGGAAGTGTGGGCCTGCTTTTGGCTGATGAGATAGGATTTGTTGTTGTTGTGTGCTTTCAAGTCATTTCAGACTTAGGTTGACCCTGAGCGAGGACTGGGCCTTAGTTTGAGGATCCCTGATTTCCGAGGAGGATTGTCTTCCAGTGTTCTTGTGGGTCTGTATGTGGCTGTGGAGCCCTATTCTTGCTCTGCATCTTCTTCCGCAGTGAGGGCATTGGTTTCCAGGTGGAAGGCGGTCTCGGTCGGTTGGCTTGATGCGCCTTCCTCTTGGCACGCTTCTCCCTTTCGCCCTCCATTCGTGCCTCTTCAAATTCTGCAGCACTGCTGGTCACAGCTGACCTCCAGCTGGAGCGGTCAAAGGCCAGGGCTTCCCAGTTCTCAGTGTCTATGCCAGAGTTTTTAAGGTTGGCTTTGAGCCCATCTTTAAATCTCTTTTCCTGTCCAACAACATTCCGTTTTCCATTCTTGAGTTCGGAGTAGAGGAACTGCTTTGGGAGACGGTGGTCGGGTATCTGGACAACGTGGCCGGTCCAGCAGAGTTGGTGGCGGAGGACCATCGCTTCAATGCTGGTGGTCTTTGCTTCTTCCAGCACGCTGACGTTTGTCCGCCTGTCTTCCCAAGAGATTTGCAGGATTTTCCGGAGGCAGCGCTGATGGAATCGTTCCAGGAGTTGCATGTGACATCTGTAGACAGTCCACGTCTCACAGGTATATAGCAGGGTTGGGAGGACAATAGCTCTATAAACAAGCACCTTGGTATCCCTATGGATGTCCTGGTCCTTAAACACTCTCTGCTTCATTCGGAAAAATGCTGCGCTCGCAGAGCTCAGGCGGTGTTGTATTTCGGTGTCGATGTTGACTTTGGTGGAGAGGTGACTGCCAAGGTAGCGGAAATGGTCAACATTTTCTAATGTTACACCATTAAGCTGTATCTTTGGCATTGGAGAGGGATTGGCTGGTGACTGTTGGAACAGTACCTTGGTTTTCTCGATGTTCAGTGACAGGCCAAGCTTCGTGTATGCTTCTGCGAAGGTGTTTAGAGTGGCTTGTAGATCTTCTTCTGAATGCGCACAGATGACGTTGTCATCAGAATACTGGAGTTCTATAACAGATGTTGTAACCTTGGTTTTGGCTTTCAGTCTGCTGGGGTTGAATAGCTTGCCATCTGTCCGATAAATGATTTCCACTCCGCTGGGAAGCTTCCCATCAACAAGGTGAAGTATCATAGCGATTAAGATGGAGAATAAAGTTGGGGCATTCACACCCTGGCCTAAGCAAGGGCCAGGTAAATGACTTTGGAGGACCGTATCCGGCCCCTGGGCCTTAGTTTGAGGACCCCTGATTTATACCCTGCCTTTCTTGCCCTGGGGACATAAGTGGCTAACAACCATACAATTTAATGACAATTTAAACAAAGTAAATTCAATTTTTTTAAAAAAAAACACAGTTACGTGTCCCTGTGTCAATATAAAGTTAAAATACAATTGAAATACAATTAATACAATTCAAATTACATTTGAAACTGCCAGTGTGCCCCATTGTTCTCTCTATCAACAGACTTAAACTCAGAACTCACAGAATGTGGATTTCATTTTCTTCGAACAGGATTGCCAGTCGGTCTTCTTTGCCAACAGCATCACAAGACAGCCAAATGCAAACAGAACAAGTAATGAGCTGAGGGCAACTATGATTTCTGTACGGAAAAAAAGAAGCACATCAAAAGTAGATGTTTAGGAAGAATTTAAAGAGAGCTATGATGACAAAAAAATGAAGATCTAATATTAGAGGAATGGTTCGAAGTACTCACCGGTGGAATTCAATGGGCTTTTTACTGAGCCAAGCATTGTGCCACAGAGTTTCTCGCACTCTTCATCATTGCAGCTGAAAGACAGAAGCAGGAATTTGTGTTAAACAAGAAGCAAATGCTGCAAGCATTTTGATGACTCCTGGGGCCCACAATGGAGTGTCTGTGAGGACCGTAAACTCAGGGGATTCCAGATTTGTGGGCTGCCTGCACAAGACCTCCCAGTCCTGCTCGTTCTGTTCTGGCTTCTTCCTGACTAGTTGCAATGAATACTTCTTCCCATTCCTTTCTGACAGGATGCCTTTCCTTCCAATCCAGCTACCAGTCAAAGAGAGGGGACACAAAGAAAGACTGTGGGGTGGTATTTCTTTGTTGAAAGAAACAGGAAGGGGGTGGCTGCAGGTTCTACAGGTGGCATGCATGGTTTGTTTTTTTGTCGTCTCAGGAGCGACTTGAGAAACTGCAAGTCGCTTCTGGTGTGAGAGAATTGGCCGTCTGCAAGGACGTTGCCCAGGGGATGCCCGGATGATTTGATGTTTTTATCATCCTTGTGGGAGGCTTCTCTCATGTCCCCGCATGAGGAGCTGGAGCTGATAGAGGGAGCTCATCCGCCTCTCCCCGGATTTGAACCCGTGACCTGTCGGTCTTCAGTCCTACCGGCACTGCACCACATGAAGCTCCTCATGGTTCGTTGAAAAGACAGAAGCCTGAAAAGGATCATGGTTGGCTTAGGCCCCTTCTACACTGCCATATAATCCACATTATCAAAGCAGATAATCCACATTATTTGGTTTAAATTGGATTATTTGAGTCCACACTGCCATATAATCCAGCTCAAATCGGGTAATCTGGATTTTACATGGCAGTTTATTTATTATTCAAACTTATATGCCGCCACTCCCCTGGGGCTCGGAGCGGCTTACAAGAATGGCTAAAATCTAAAACAATTTAAAAACAATTTAAAACAATTTAAAAACAGCAATATCAAAAATCAAAGGCCTGTCGAAACAGGTATGTCTTACATGCCCTGCGGAAAGCTGATAAGTCCCGCAAGGCATGGACTTCAGGTGGCAGAGTATTCCAGAGTGATGGTGCCACTGCTGTAAAGGCTCTGCATCTGGTTGCTGTTAGACGCAAGGTCTTGACACTGGGAATTTCCAATAGATCTTGGTCCTCAGAACGGAGGGATCTCTGGGGTTGGTAGGGGGTGAGGCGGTCCCTCAGGTACATCGGCCCCAGACCATGCAAGGCCTTAAAAGTGAATACCATCACTTTGAAAGTGATCCGGTCCTCAATTGGAGTTTAGGAGGAGTTTAGAAGGAGACATTGCTGCAAAAGACTAATAAACATAAAGAGAACTATAAAAGTTCCTAAAGAGCTGTAGTCCAATATATGTGGCCTCTAAGGAAGGATTTGGAGGATTTTATTATCAGCACTATATGTACAGCCCCTGTATTGGTACAGTAGCCTGTCACAAGGGGGTAGGAGGGCAACAGGGGTTTGCTGAGTTCAATGGGTGGGTTTTGTTTTGGTTTTTTTTGTCATGTCAGGAGCGACTTGAGAAACTGCAAGTCGCTTCTGGTGTGAGAGAATTGGCCGTCTGCAAGGATTGCCCAGGGGATGCCCGGATGATTTGATGTTTTTATCATCCTTGTGGGAGGCTTCTCTCATGTCCCCGCATGAGGAGCTGGAGTTGATAGAGGGAGCTCATCCGCCTCTCCCCGGATTCGAACCTGCGACCTGTCGGTCTTCAGTCCTGCCAGCACAGGGGTTTAACCCACTGCGCAACTGGGGGCTCCAATGGGTGGGTGAGGGGGCTGTAATCGCCCTGCAGAGCCACTCTTTTGGTTCATGCACAGCTTCCAAAAATGTCCAAATCCACACAAAAAGTCAGGAAAATAAAATGCTATTTTAAAAAACTGAGCATTATGCTTAAGTATGGAGAATGAAGGGAGTGTTCTCTCCCTTTCTGTACCCAACAGCACTCCATAGGAGCAAGGCTGAAGTTGGGAAGAAGCAGGTCTTGGTTTCTTTCTCAAACAAAAAAGAAAAAAAATATCTCCCAAATGTCCACCTGAGCACGAAGCAGAAAAGAGTGTGTTGAATCAATTGATATGGGCAGCAGGGAAGCATTTGTTTTCTAGACTACCAGCAATCCCACAGCATATGCCTCTCCTGCTCCACTCCAATTAATTATTGCCAGGAAGAGATAGATAAAGGTAAAGGTTTCCCCCTGACATTAAGTCCAGTTGTGTCTGACTCTGGTGCTCATCTCCATTTCTAAGCCGAAGAGCTGGTGTTGGCCGTAGACACCTCCAAGTTCATGTGGCCAGCATGACGACATGGAGCGCCGTTACCTTCCCGCCAGGGTGGTACCTATTGATCTATTTATTTATTATTTTATTTACAGCTTTTATATTCCGCCCTTCTCACCCTGCAGGGGACTCAGGGCGGATTACAGTGCACTCACTGACTTATTCCTACATTTCTCATTTATTTATTTATTTCCAGCTTTTATATTCCGCCCTTCTCACCACGCAGGGGACTCAGGGCGGATTACAGTGTACACATATATGGCAAACATTCAATGCCAATTTTTGACATACAAACATATACAGACATACACAGAGGCTATTTAACTTTTTCTGGCCGCCAGGGGAGCTGTCGCTTTCATCGTCCATCTGCGACACTGATGAAGCACTTCCGCATTCCCCGCATGCTTCCCCGCTGGAATGCTTTGCTGGAGTCTTCTTTATGGCCTCATAAATCAGTTAATTTAGCCTCCCCACACTTTAAGGTGGTACCTAATTTTCCTACTTGACAGATGCAACTGTCTTTCGGGTTGCAAAGGTCGACAACAGGCTACACACAATTGGTTGGAAACCCACTCCAACCCAGGCTGGCTTCGAACTCATGACCTTTTGGTCAGAGTGATCTTAATGTAGCTGACTCTCAGCCGGCTGCGCCACAATCCCTGTGCTTTTACTCACATTTTATCTACTCACATTTGCATGTTTTCAAACTGCTAGGTTGGCAGAAGCTGGGGCTAAAGCAGGAGCTCACACCACTCCCCGGATTTAAATGTGACCTTTCGGTCAACAAGCTCAGCAGCTCAGTGGTTTAACCCACTGCACCACCGGGGCTCCGAGGAAGAGATAAGGACATGTTAAATCACATCCTCTTTCACTTCTTCTAGAAGTTGCCTAGGCATATCCATTGGGGAGTGCCTGTAGGACTTAGAGCATGCCTATGAGATTGCACCTGTGTCTTTCAGAGGGATAGGCAACTAAATTCTTTTTACCTGCTGCATGGGGAGCAGTTGTTTTCCCCGGTTCGGCGAAAAAAACGAGTATGACATTCACATATTGTGTCACTAAATTTGGTACCTAGGAATTAGAGACAAGGGTGAGAAACATATGATAAAAGAGCAATACACTAATCTAAATGTGACATGGGATATCCAAGTTCAGCATTTGTTTTTTCTGTTAATTTTTATTGATAGAAAAGAAAAGAAAAACATAATATAACTATAATAAAGTGAGCAAAACATTACAAAGTTATACATTTTTTTAAAAAACTCTGAACTCCACCAATGATGGAATTGAAACATGACCAACAGAAAATACTAGAAGGGTTTGGTGGACATTGACCTTGAGTTTGGGAGTTGTAGTTCACCCGCATCCAGAGGGCACTGTGGACTAAAAAATGATGGATCTGGACCAAACTTGGCAAGAATATTCCATATGCCCAAATATGAACATGGATGGAATTTGGGGGAAATAGACCTTTACATTTGGGAGTTGTAGAAATTGGGATTTATAGTTCACCTACAATCAAAGAGCATTCTGAACCCCACAAACGACAGAATTGGGGCAAAGTCCCACACAGAACCCCCATGACCTCCTTTCTGTTGAAATTGTCCACATGCTTGTGTATTTCAATGGCTTCTCTGTGTAGTCTGACATGGTGGTTGTTGGAGTGGTCCAGTGGTCAATCAGAGAAATCAGCCATAGCAGAGCACCTGATGAACCAACCTGGACACAGCATTTTATTTGAGAACACAGAAATGCTGGACCACTCAACAACCACCATGTCAGACTACACAGAGAAGCCATTGAAATCCACAAGCATGTGGACAATTTCAAGGAGGAAACCATGAAAATGAACAAAATCTGGCTACCAGTATTAAAAAACTCTAAAATTGCAACAGCACAACAACAGAGAGGAAGCAGGCAGGGACATCTAATTACCTCTCAACAAAAGTTTGCTCCAGGCACAGTCAGCCCATTGTATGCTAATCAAGGTGGTCAGTTGAAACATTCACACCTAGCTCCAGCAGACAAGAGTCCTTTGTCCCACCCTGGTCATTCCACAGATATATAAACCCATTGTCCTAATTCCAACAGACCTCACTACCTCTGAGGATGCTTGCCATAGATGCAGGCGAAACGTCAGGAGAGAATGCCTCTAGAACATGGCCATACAGCCCGAAAAAACCCATATTAGGTATTCTTTAAATATCTGAATGGCTGTCAAGTAGATAGCAGAGTGAATTTGCTTTCTGCTATTCTAAGCCAAAAAGCAATGAATCCAAACTGAAAGTCAAGAAATTACAATTAATCATTAGGAGGTATTTTCTGATGACAAACACCGTTGGACAACAGAAGAGCATAACTTGTAAGGAGATGGACTTTTCTTGACCACAGGTCTATAATGAAAGGTTTGGGGGTAGATTTCTGCAATGGCTTTATGCAATGGGAGTGGGTTGGACTAGATAGATAGAGGGTCTCCTCCAACTCTATGATTCTGGCATGGAAGTACTGCTACGCCTATAGGACTTACCAACCCACCCAATTGGGTTGATAACTAGTCATGATGTGACGCCTCCCTTTTAGAATTATAGAATCATAGAATCAAAGAGTTGGAAGAGACCTCACGGGCCATCCAGTCCAACCCCCTGCCAAGAAGCAGGAATATTGCATTCAAATCACCCCAGACAGATGGCCATCCAGCCTCTGTTTAAAAGCTTCCAAAAAAGGAGTCTCCACCACACTCCGGGGCAGAGTTCCACTGCTGAACGGCTCTCACAGTCAGGAAGTTCTTCCTCATGTTCAGATGGAATCTCCTCTCTTGTAGTTTGAAGCCATTGCTTCGCGTCCTAGTCTCCAAGGAAGCAGAAAACAAGCTTGCTCCCTCCTCCCTGTGGCTTCCTCTCACATATTTATACATGGCTATCATGTCTCCTCTCAGCCTTCTCTTCTTCAGGCTAAACATGCCCAGCTCCTTAAGCCGCTCCTCATAGTGCTTGTTCTCCAGACCCTTGATCATTTTAATCAGCCTCCTCTGGACAATTTCCAGCTTGTCAATATCTCTCTCCAATGACACAGATAAGATAGAAGGTTTGAGGTGGAGACTCAGTTTTTAGAATGGATGGATGGATGAATGAGAGAGGGTGCACGGATTCCATCAATGATCATACTCACAATGTTGTCTGATTTTCCCATTCTCACAAGCACTGCAGTTCCTGCAGAAGAACTCAGAGCCATCACTAGTTTGATACTGATTATTGCCACAGCCACAGATAGTGTCCCGTTCGGGGTGGCAGCTGGATATTTCTATCTGTTTGAAGCCTACAAAGAGAAAGGAAGAGTGTTTGTGCAAAGTATTAGTTCTACATAAATTGCAGTGCCCAGTGTGGTAACAGAGGGTGACAAACAATAAACACATATTAGTCTCTATCTGAGAATGTCGCTTGCACAGATCTACTTCATTATTAATCACTATTTATATTTATGTTATGTTATCTATATAAATAAAAATGTAATGTTCGTTTGTGGAATTAACATAACTCAAAAACCACTCGACGAATTGACACCAAATTTGGACACAAGGCACCTAACAACCCAATGTATGTCCTTCACTAAAAAAAAAATGATTTTGTAATTTGGGAGTTGTAGTTGCTGGGATTTATAGTTCACCTACAATCAAAGAGCATTCTGAACTCCACCAATGATGGCATTGAACCAAACTTGGCACACAGGACTCCCATGATGAACAGAAAAGACTAGAAGGGTTTGGTGGGCATTGATCTTGAGTTTGAGAGTTGTAGTTCACCAACACCCATAGAGCACTGTGGACTCGAACAATGATGGATCTGGACCAAACTTGGCACAAATATTCCATATGCCCAAATATGAACACAGATGGAATTTGGGGGAAATAGACCTTGACATTTGGGAGTTGCAGTTACTGGGATTTATAGTTCACCTACAATCAAAGAGCATTCTGAACCCCACCAATGACAGAATTGGGGCAAACTTCCCACACAGAACCCCCATGACAACAGAAAATACTTAAGGCCATCCAGTCCAACTCTCTTCACCAGGGGAAGAAAATGTAATCAAAGCCCTCCTGACAAAGAGCCATCCAGCCATAGATATAGATAGATATATATGATTCACACACAGAGAGATATAGTATCATAGATTAGAAAGGGACCCCTAAAGAAGGACAATTCTATGTTGCATATTCCAGAGTAGGCAAACCAGACAATCTCCACATCAGCACTGACAAACAAACAAGAAATACTGCTTACCCACTAGCAGAAAGAAATTACATATATTAGAAACCCACACTTTCACATTACTTTATATTCCGGATCACCAGACTGGGCCACAGCAACGCGTGATCTTGCAAGGGATGGCTAGTGTATATAATATAATGTTATATTAATTTCTTTTTGCTTAATACAGCCAGACCTCCAAATTAACTGGGATGAGGGGCTGAGTACCCCCATGAAAGTTTGTACACTATAGACAAAAACAGCTTTAAAAAAAACTGAGGAAACACCTTTTCCAAGCTCTGCTGGAAGTTGATCATAGAGTGGTTCTATAGGCAGGGCTTCACAAACTTTTCCACTCATGACCCCTTTTGGCCCGAGAATTTTTCATGTGACCCCAGGCATATAAGTATATAAAATAGATATTAAAAATCAAACATTTACTGATATCAAATCAGCATTTGCAAGGCTTGCTAAACAGGCTGATTTTCCTTGGGGGGGGGGGAGAGGGGTAGAGCTGCAACATCTTCTGCAGAGTCTGTTGTAAACAATGCACAATGCACCTTGTTGCTAAATGATTTGTGTAATGTGTGGTGTTCAGAAACCTGTTACTGTTACTGTGCTTGTACAGCTGTACCAGAAGCTCCCACTTTATTTGCCTTGTATTAAGTGTTTGCTTGCAGCCCAAGGCTTGGGAGTCTGTTAAAGTTTGCAGTTATAGGGCAGGCCCCCTGTCCATCATCGCCCACTTTATTTGCCTTGTATTAAGTGTTTGCTTGCAGCCCAAGGCTTGGGAGTCTGTTAAAGTTTGCAGTTATAGGGCAGGCCCCCTGTCCATCATCGTTAAGTTTGGTTCCGCCCCCTGTTCAGGACAATTGTGAAGGGAAGGGAGCCATTTTCAGTCAGTCTCAGCAAGGAAAGTCAATGTACAGGACGTGTACAGACTTTCTCCTGTACAAAGGCTTCAACCCTTAAGACTTCCCGGGGGAGAACAGTCTTAAGAGCATCTAAAGATTCCCAAAGGTTCCAGGGAAACAGCCTTACAGCCCTGAGGAATTTCGGAGGGAATAACAGCTTTAAACATCAAGAACTCCAGCTAAGTGACTACAGGCCTACTGGTAGGTCCACTCAGTTTTGAGACGCAGTTCAGCCTGGTAGTGGATCCACATCAGTTAGGTTTAGGATCACAGTTAGCCTGGGAGAAGTTTGGAAAGGGATTTTCCTTTAGAGTAAAAGTAACAGTTAGAAGCCACCAGTTGCACAAAAGCCTGTTTAACCTTTTGAAGACAAAAGAAGTTTCTGTTGATTGTTCACCAATAAAAGACTTTGTTATATTTCACAAGCCCTCTAGAGACTGTTTATGGTGAAAATCCTTAAGAATTTCTTTTCGGGCCCCCTGGCTTCCCGCTGGGCTAAAGTTGCACGTCCTGTTTTAAAAGCAATTCGTTTCAAGCCCAGCACGTGACAGAACAGTTACCATTTTTTGTGATCCCCAATACTGAGCTAAGGGGACAGCATTTGGAGCCGGGACCCACAGTTTAAGAAATCCCATTCTAGAAAACCTAGAGAGGCTATATTAATTAAACCTGTGAAAAAAATAAATTGTAAAAGTAAAAAGTGGAAAGCCAACTGTATAGAAAGAAAATGCAATAAATCCAATAAATACTTCCAATACTGGTTCTTGCAGGTTTATTTTATTATTTTATTAAGCACCCCTCACTTTATGCAACTTCTGACTCCTGTTTCAACCCTGTTCATTCTGAACAACACTCTGAAATTTCACTGCCATCTATTCCTGGTTAAGTAAAAAAATAACAGACTTACTTGTTCGGCATCTTGCACACCCCAAACATTGTGGATTATAATTATTTTCTGGCATGTAGGTACCTCGGGGACACTCTAAACAATTGGGTGCCATCCCTGGCCCTAAACACTCTTCCGCAACGTAAGTTCCTGAAAAAGAATTAACCAAAATGAGATGAAAGACATTGCAGTGATGAAGCGGGGGATTGTCAGTCAGGAAGACGCCAATGCCAGTGTAACATTAGAAACGGTGTAACATTAGAAAATGTTGACCATTTCCGCTACCTTGGCAGCCACCTCTCCACCAAAGTCAACATCGACACCGAAATACAACACCGCCTGAGCTCTGCAAGCGCAGCATTTTTCCGAATGAAGCAGAGAGTGTTTGAGGACCGGGACATCCGTAGGGACCAAGGTGCTTGTTTATAAAGCTATTGTCCTCCCAACCCTGCTCTATGCCTGCGAGACGTGGACTGTCTACAGACGTCACATGCAACTCCTGGAACGATTCCATCAGCGCTGCCTCCGGAAAATCCTGCAAATCTCTTGGGAAGACAAGCAGACAAATGTCAGCGTGCTGGAAGAAGCAAAGACCACTAGCATTGAAGCTATGGTCTTCCGCCATCAACTCCCCTGGACTGGCCACGTTGTCCAGATGCCTGACCACCGTCTTCCGAAGCAGTTGCTCTATTCCGAACTCAAGAATGGAAAACGGAATGTTGGTGGGCAGGAAAAGAGATTTAAAGATGGTCTCAAAGCCAACCTTAAAAACTCTGGCATAGACACTGAGAACTGGGAAGCCCTGGCCCTTGAGCGCTCCAGCTGGAGGACAGCTGTGACCAGCAGTGCTGCAGAATTTGAGGAGGCAGGAGTGGAGGGTGAAAGAGAGAAACGTGCCAGGAGGAAGGCGCGTCAAGCCAACCCCGACCGAGACCGCCTTCCACCTGGAAACCAATGCCCTCACTGCGGAAGAAGATGCAGAGCAAGAATAGGGCTCCATAGCCACATATGGACCCACAAGAATATTGGAAGACAATCATCCTCGGAAAGCGAGGGATCGCCTAAGTAAGTAAGTAAGTAAGTAAGTGTCAGTCAGGGAGACGTGAGCTATGTACAGAATTATATCAGTTTATCATCATCATCATCATTATCATCATCTATAACTCAGAGACAACCTATATGCAGCGGGTGTTGCCCTACCAACCCCAATACACATATTGCAACCAGCAGTTATTGCAATTAGTACCACACACACCTTCACTACAAAGGAGTCCAGCTCAGTTTCGTAATGGGAGCAGGGACAGGATATTTGATATACGGTTTCTCATGGCACACACAGATTTTGTGTGTGTTCATAATGCCCACCTTCTCAACAGAAGAAAATGTGCTCTCTCTCTTACTGAACAATGTTCTTGAGCAGGGGTCCTCAAACTAAGGCCCAGGGGCCGGATACGGCCCTCCAAGGTCATTTACCTGGCCCTCGCTCAGGGTCAACCGAAGTCTGAAATGACTTGAAAGCACATAACAACAACAACAACAACAACCCTATCTCATAATAATAATAATAATAATAATAATAATCCTTTATTTATATCCCGCTAACATCTCCCGAAGGACTCGGTGCGGCTTACAAGAGGCCAAGGCCCAACACATCAATAAACAACAGCATAACAAATACAACAATAAATAAACTCATAAAACAAGCAATAAACATTAAACCAATAGCAATAAACATTAGACAATAACACTATGACACATTTAAAACTAAGGCCGGGCTAAATGTAATGATTAAAAATTTAAAATGCTGGACATAACAGGTGAGATGGATAGGTTTTTGGAGATAAGTGCGGTGTGCAGACAATCTTAATCTCTAGTAAAGTGCAATTGGGACATGATGCTAGGAGTTTCCTATTCTGGGAAGGCACACGGGAACAACCACGTCTTCAAGCTCTTCCTAAAAACTGCCAATGTTGGGGCTTGTCTGATATCCTTAGGGAGAGAGTTCCAGAGTCGGGGGGCCACCACGGAGAAGGCCCTGTCCCTCGTCCCCACCAATTGCGCTTGCGACGCAGGTAGGATCGTGAGCAGAGCCTCTCCAGATGATCGGAGAGATCGTGTGGGTTCATATACGGAGGTGCGGTCACGCATCACTCATTAGCCAAAAGCAAGCCCATACCTCCCACTGAAATACTAATAAGTTTGTATTTGTTAAAAATTGTTATTCATTTTAATTATTGTATTGTTGTTTTTTTGCACTACAAATAAGATATGTGCATTGCACATAGGAATTCATTCATGGTTTTTTTTTTCAAATTATAATCTGGCCCTCTAACAGTTTGAGGGACTGTGACGTGGCCCTCTGTTTAAAAAGTTTGTGGATCCCTGTTCTTGAGACTCCACAAGACTCCTAAAAATGATTCAGGAGAAGTATAGTGATTGACCTCCCTAAAGCCATTCCTCACCTCCCACCTCTTACTTCCCCCTCCCATGCTATTGCTTTAGATTTCAAGCTGGCTCATGCCCCATCTACACTGCCATTATAATCCAGATTGAACTACATTACAGGCAGTAAAAACATCTGCCTTACAAAGGAACGGGGCTGAGATAACAGGAAGTGATAGAAATCTACTCCTCGGAAGGGAAATTCACTGCTTAAAGAGTTATCATGGGGAAGAAGTGTCTCCAGTAAAGCTTCCACAACAACTAAGATTTTCAAAATCCAATTATCACAGGGACAGAAAATGAGCTGGAAACTTCTGTATAGGGGCACAGACAGCAAAACATACTCCACAGAGGTGTTAACCCTTCCCCTTCCCTATGCTATCTAAAGTATATATATGTATACAAATGACATGACTGGAGTTACACTTAAAAATGTACCTGTTCCAAGTTACATACAAATTCAGCTTATAAACAAACCTATAGAATCTTGTTAGTAACTTGGGGGCTGCCCGTACATGGTCAGTGTAGATTCATATAATGCAGTTTAACTGCATTGGACATGGTATGAGCAGTGCCATTGATAGGAGTGGGTTGGAGGCAACAAGCGAAACAGCAGACAATGGGATCAGGGACGGGGTAGGACGAACAGAAACAAGAGGGCATGGACATTAGATCTGAAGGGGCTGGGTAGGGTAAAGGATTAGGTGAGGACAGCAGGGGCAGAATTCTTCAAAGTCTTCCCTCCCCTTCTCCCTGTCCATTACAGTTTTTGGAAGAAAGGAATATATTGAGAGAAACTCATGTCAAAACATTGTTCTGCAAGCCATTGATCTTATGTAACCACTAAGCATATACAATAAGAAAGATACAAATAAAAGAAGAAACTGTTTCATCTTGTCATATGTTCTGCAGTTGATGGTGCTTGGTGATGGAAGGGTTAATGTAAGTATTAGTTCTAAAGGGTTTAGTAATCTGTAAGTAAGAGTTAATGGGTGAAAGCAATTAAGGGTAGAGGTATGCAAGAGATAGGTTGCAGCTGGGTGTTTGTGGATATAAGGAGAGAGCCTTGGAAGTGATCTTTGGGAGAAAATTGTTGTCATATTTTGGTGGTAGATGCTGCTGGTTTTTCCCCCAGGTCTGTGGAATTTTTGGTATCCTGACCTGTTTCCTGTAATCTTGGAACCTTGAACTTTTGGACTGGCTTTTGACTGCGGTATAGACTCTTGATCCCTGGACTTTGTTTATTGAACTCTTGGCGTTTGACCACTGGACTGGATCCTTTGACTACGGTGTAGCTTTTGCTATCAGTTTTTGTTTGTTCTGTGGCTGAGTGCTATCTTTATGTTTTATATTTTGGTCTATTAAAACAGCCAGCAAGTAAGTGCTGTTTTAATTAAACTGTTTGATAAAACTGCAAGTTTGGTTCATCTCTACCTAAATAAGGCAGAGCCCTGGCAATGTGACACATCTTCAAGTAAAGCCTCTCTCGGTTAGAGAACTTGGTTAGTCTCTGTGTTTTATTGATGTGTTATATACTGATTGTTTTTAACTGTGATAATTGTTTTAACTATGGTTTTATACGTTATGTGTATGTTGTGCAGGCATCGAATTGTGCCTTTCTGTAAGCCGCCCTGAGTCCCCCTCGGGGGTTGAGAAGGGCAGGATAAGAAGTACCCGAAATAAATAAATAAATAGTTACAAATGGCAGCAAGCGGTAGGAAGATGGAATAAAAGGTCCCTCTGTCCTGCCTGAAGATTCGTTTGTTTTGAAGTTTGTTTGTTTTGTCTGCCATTTTCTTTCGCCCTGTATCCCAGAATCTGGATAATCTCAGATCCTGGGATAGAGGGTCTGTCTGGAAGGGCCCTTTGACACTCCTGTCTATCTTTCACTGAATTTATGATGAAATCGCATTATATCTTTCTTCTTTCTCCTCCAAGCAATTATCAACCATTGCAAGCACTCACACATTAATAGTGAATCCCAGACTTCCATGTGCTCCATACTTAGAAGTGGGTAATAGCTTTCAGGTGGCCTACATTGAGGTGTAAGTGGTAGCACAAAATAATTTTTTTAAGTGGCAGTGATACAAGCACATTGGAATCAAAGGGGATTTTTACACAACATTAACCGTACCTTTGTGGCACTGCAAGCAGCAGTGGGTTCCATTTGTGTGATTAAAATATCCCCTCTCACATTTCAGTCCCCTCTCTTCCCTTCCACTGGAGTGAGGGGATTCCTGTTTGTGTGTGTCTACCCCATGTTTTGCGCCAGGCATGAGGACTGCTCCCAAGGATTCCCCAGTGTTCATCTGAACTAGAATCACTTTGATCTGCAAAGAAAACCAGTAAGAGGAAATTACTTTTCATCCAAATAATAATAATAATAATAATAATAATAATAATAATAATAGTGAGATAAAAGAGAGACAGATTATTTGCGGAGGACTCATTATAGTGGGGGTTGTGGAATCAGGCTTCCCCACGAAGGGGGGGGGGACATATACTCCAATGACAAAAACATTGAGGCTAAGCAATAGTGTGATATTGTATATCTACTCATCAAAGGCGCAGCAGAACAGCCAGGTTTTAAGGTTCTTTTTAAAGGTTTCTAGGGTTGGGGCTTTCCTAATTTCTCCAGGTAGTGAGTTCCAGAGTCGGGGGGCCACAGAGTAAAAAGGTCTCTCCCTTGTACTTATCAGGCGAGCTTGTGAATATGGCAGAGGTGAAAGAAGGGCCTCCCCAGAAGAATGGAGGGCCCAAGTTGGTTCATGGAGGGAGATTCCCCCATGACCTTCTGGCAAACAAACTAGTCCAATGTGGGGTAGGCAAAACTACGGTGAGGTAGATCAGTAATTGGTTACATGGACGAACCCAGAGGGTGCTCACCAATGCTTCCTCTTCATCTTGAAAAGAAGTGACAAGTGGAGTGCCACAAGCAGGGCCGTAGCCAGAAAAAAATTTCGGGGAGGGTTGACAATTTGGGGGGGGGGTTTGAAAATTTTAGGGAGGGTTGAAAATTTTGGGGTGGGGTTGAAACCTGCCTCCTAGCTCACGCTGAAGCAAAGAGCACAGCAGGGGGCAGAGCAACCTTCAATAGCCTGCAGCTCCGCCCCTGTCAACCACCTCCACCAAGTCTGGCCTCCTTAATGAGAGCATTCAACACCCCACCCCCCCCAACTTGGTTGCTTCACTACATCGGCTATTGCTGCAAGTAATGACAGTGTGAATAAATTGTCAATATTTGCTTGAGATAGTGCTTGCAGTTCTGGAGGGACTCTTAATTTTGCATCTCATAGACTTAGCATGGGGATTTGGTTAACCAGTTAAAATTCATGAGTAAACCAGGTTTTTTTTAAAAAAATCTGAAACATTTCGGGGGGGGGGTTGAACCCCTAAAACCACCCCCTCGCTACAGGCCTGGAGGTAGTGCCATCCTGGGCCCGGTCCTGTTCAACATCTTTATTAATGACTTAGATGAAGGGTTAGAAGGCAGGATTATCAAGTTTGCAGACGACACCAAATTGGGAGGGATAGCCAATACTCCAGAGGACAGGAGCAGGATTCAAAACGATCTTGACAGATTAGAGAGATGATTGGCCAAAACTAACAAAATGAAGTTCAACAGGGACCTCATGGGCCATCCAGTCCAACCCCCTGCCAAGAAGCAGGAATATTGCATTCAAATCACCCCTGACAGATGGCCATCCAGCCTCTGTTTAAAAGCTTCCAAAGAAGGAGCCTCCACCACACTCCAGGACAGAGAGTTCCACTGCTGAACGGCTCTCACAGTCAGGAAGTTCTTCCTCATGTTCAGATGGAATCTCCTCTCTTGTAGTTTGAAGCCATTGTTCCGCGTCCTAGTCTCCAAGGAAGCAGAAAACAAGCTTGCTCCCTCCTCCCTGTGGCTTCCTCTCACATATTTTTACAGCTATCATATCTCCTCTCAGCCTTCTCTTCTTCAGGCTAAACATGCCCAGCTCCTTAAGCCGCTCCTCATAGGGCTTGTTCTCCAGACCCTTGATCATTTTAGTCGCCCTCCTCTGGCTCAAAGCAATGGAATTCTGGGCGGGACTAGCACTCTTTGGCAGCGAAAGCTAAAGGCCTTGGAAAACTACATATCCCATGATTCTATAGCAATAAGCCATGGCAGTTAAAGTGATATCAAGTTGCATTCATTCTACAGTGCAGATGCACCCAAAGAGAAGACTCAGTGAATGATCAATAAAAAGACTTATGGAGAGATTAGAAGCAAAAAGTGACAAAAATAGAGTCAGAACCTTATCTGCAATTGTACGACTTGTAGGTATGAACAGAAAAAATATTGTGATTATCAATGCAAAAAATAGATGAAAATGAAAAAGAACAAGAGACCTCTTCCACAAGAAATCAAAGGGAAATTTAAACCAAGAGTGGGGAACACTCTATGACAAGTAGGGAATGACCCAATAGAAATAAAAAGGACTCAGAAATCTATGTAAGAGAGATTAAAGGGTGACAGAGTCATTCAAAGAAGCAGCATATGAAAACACATCTCTAAATTCATAAAGTGGAAGCTGCACTCAGAGCATTTGGGATAAATAAATCACCTGGAATAGATGGTATAC